TCTGAACTGTACATGGCACTACTTAATTTCTCAAAATTCTGTTTCTCTTCCAGTGAAATTCAGACTGTTCAGCTCAGTTTTCTGTTCAATACTTTATTTTTATTCCACCTCACAAATCTGAGGCTGTCAAAAATTTGAACAACTTGAAAAAAACCCAATGTTTTTTCGTTAGAAAGTAATTTGTCCCTCCTAAAACTGCCTCAAATTTTATGATTTATTTAGACTATAGTTGATTGATGAATTATTTTTATATATCCCAAAACTCCATTTTACATCTTTAAACTCTTCAAATTTCCTGATTACCAACTTTCCAAAATAGTAGCGTTGGAATAGTTTTGTAGAGATCTTTTATGTGACTCATCATTTTCAATAAATAATGTGAATGAGTGAACTTTGCTGTATGAGGAAATTATAAGAAAATTAAGTGCCAAATTCAGTAAAGAGTGAGCCAACCTTAACACATATTATACAACTAACCTAATTGAGATTCATTGAGGTACTTGATATTTGGCCATTCTCTCACATCACAAATTCACGCTAATAAATACATTCACTCTCAATACAAACTAGGTATACACAACTCTTATTACTATATACAATAATCGGGTGGCATGGAGCCAAGGAATTGCACCTTCAATTTTATTATAACAAATAAAGTACTATTGTTATTATTATTGGAAAAAAATTGTTCAAATATGTGTGTCCTTGTATTAGTCGGCCGTTGGATAATCAATTGCTAATTTTAAACTTATGTTCTTTCTGGGCTTTCTAGGCTTTCTTTCTGGGGCCGCTCACCTCAACATAAGTTTAAAATTAGCAACTGTTCAAATAAATTACATTTTATCATATTAGCTGGGCTATTTTCTTGAATGGCAGATTTAAAGTGAACTGACCTTTTTATTAGGTGAAATTTTTAAGTAGGCTTAACAACATGTACATGGAAATGTGGAAATGTCAGTACTGTTACTTAATAATAAAAATTGAAAACATGAAATATAAATCTAAAACTATTTTTTCTAAACAGGACTACTCGAATTTTTCTCCTGTTGTTGGATATTTCCTCCATACATATAAATTTATTCTCATTGTACTGCTCTCAACGCTCTGGCCAGCTTTCTCTTCAGCACATGTGGCATATTGGTTACACATTTTGTAGGAAGCTTTAGGAGAAGTGGTTTGTGCAAAGTTTATTAATATTTTTCTGTTTGCTTAAACTACATCACAAAATGAATTTTAAAGAAGTAGTATTTTGTTTATATGATAAGTTATGATTCATTATTAGGGATGGTTAGTGATTAATTTAAGAAATTATTAATTGTTGACCTAATGACTCACATTTATTCTTGATTACTCATTTTGGTTTCAAATGTTTTCTGTTAGTAATGTTTTAAATACTGCAAATGAGGTAAGAATGTTAGAGAGAGTTAAAGCGGCTAATGAATTATTTCTCCAATATTAGGACAGTTTTCCACAGTCTTTCTTTCTACAGTTTTCCAGTCTGAATTCATAGTGATCGAACAATGTGCCAGAGAAATAAAAAGGTTAGGAATACATTCCTGGAAGATAGCCATTTTCTCTGACAGCCAGGCAGGTCTCAGGGCCTTAGGCGAAGGCAAAGAGTGTTTGGAAATGCATGGAGGCCCTGACGGAAGTCAGCAACACTAATGACCTGACCCTGGCGTAGGTCTCTGGACATTCGCGGCATAGAGGCAATGAAATGGTTGACATGTTGGCCAAAAAGGGAGCCAACGTGGGCCCAGAACCCTACTGCAGCCTAGCAGCCTGCCACAAAAGAGGATACATCTTAAAATGGATCCTTAATGAGTCCAAAACCTGGTGGAACAATACCACAGGTATGAGGCAAGCGAAGAGATTCATAGAAGTACCATCTGCAATACAAAAGAACTACTGGAAGGCAACCGCAACCGAACCTGGATTCTGGTTGTACTCCTGACGGGACACTGCCACTTAAAAAAGCACATGCACCGGATAGGAGTACAGACAGAAGAAACACTGTGCAGATACTGCCAGGAAGAGGAGGAGACCACAGAACACATTTTATGTTTCTGTGAAGGTCTATGCAGGTGCAGGTTCTTGCAACTAGGACAAGAAAAACCACAAGCAAGATCCTACACCAAGGAACTGCTGGCAAAGCTGTGGAGGATGGTTAATAGCCTGAAGCTGGCCAGTGAGTTATAATTAACAGAAGAGCACAATAGATCTATTTAGGTTGAGTTGCAGTAGGCCTTGTGGCCGCCTCTCTTATCCCTATCCCTATCCAGTATTAGTGAAACCTATTGAAAAGTCATCACACAAAAAAAATTAAATTAAATTAAAACATCAACCAACTTAATTAACAAGGTCTGTTATTTTATTATTGAAATGCAGTTATCAGAGAAATATCTAAAAGTTAAATTTGAAATTAAAATAAGAAAGTGGTAGAATAAGGTAAAGATTCATCATAATACATATTATTTATTACAAATTGCTATAAAGAACTGATAATAATAAAAACATTTTTAAAAATTATTGATTATATTCTTCCTTTCTTCCACTACGACTTAAAAAAACTTTTATTGAATTGACCCTTCTTTATTGCCATATCCCAGAAAATGCACTAACTTTGAGGTATGTTGAACTGGCTTTGGGTCACTTATTGGGTCTTCACCTGCAAAGTGCATTTGAGAAGTTCAACAAACCTGAGAGTGAAGAAGGACACAATAAACGACCCAACGCCTGTTTATAATGAATTGACCGATTTGCAGACCAACACCCAGCATTAACTAACTCATCAACTACTACCTTTGAGATAGTTGAGCACAATAAGGAGTTCCTCTTTACCATCTTTTCTAGGCCAGGACTTCCCAAACTTTTTAGCCAGCGGACCCCTTTCAAAGAGCAAAATCTCACACAGGCATCATTCAAGTATTAAAAATTATATACTTATAGTATGTTGTAAATTAAAGTTTTATAAATTAGCCAGCCCACCCTAAATTAGGTGATGGAAAGGGATATACTAAGTAAACAAACATTAATTTGACACACTTAACATTATTTACAAAATCCAGACAGAACGGAATCAATAGGCAGGCAAAATTTGAGCCACATTCAAAAGCAATAGTTTAAGCAATAATGATTACTGAATTAATGGGAAGAGTGAGGTTGTTTTAGCCTGCAAAATTTGAATATATTGAATTTAATTTTTGATTGCTGGAGATGGATGGGTTCAGTATCTAGACAGCTTTGGTGGCTGTACAGAAAAAAAATCCAGGTTCGCACAGGTAAGTTGTGGTAAATGGAAGAACATGTTTTGTTTTTCCAATGAGCGTTGAAACTTTTTGTTTTTCAGTTGGAGCCAAAAATGGGGGTAAATATCAGACTCGAAAGTAGATTTCAAGGTGGTGTCTGAAGTTCTGAAGTAATAAATATTCGTATTCGTTTAAAGGTAGACTGGTTGGCTTTGCCGAAACTGAAAACGGTCTGACCAGGTATTCATGGCATTGCAACATTGTACCTTGAGCTGTTTGGAAGTAGTGCCCAAAAGACATCTTCAAACTTTGAAGGTGTTCTCATATTTCATCAATCGACGCAATTCCCGTTCGCAAGCTCCAGTTTGTTTTCTTAAAAAAAAAAAATCATTTTACACACGAAAACACCACCTCTTCCTTCTCAACATATTCAACCTAAAACTGGATTTTTCTTTTAAAGAAGCAAATGTTTTCATTAGCATCGAAAGTTGTGATACTCTTTCCTTGCAAAGAAAATATCTGATATATACGATAGTATACAATGACATTTCCCATCATAAAAAAATGTTGGCCAGTTTGACATTGTGCGCCATGAAAAGATAAGACTTCAAAACGTATAATTCATGTAATCGTGAAAATGCTTACCCATGAGACAGCTACATCAAGTCTGTATGGATAAGCTGGGAATAATGAAGGCTTCCCATATCATCAGATAGTATTGTGAAAAGCTTAACTTTAATGGCCATCATTTTATATAATTAATAATTTGAACAGACCCATCCAAAACTTTCTTAAAAGAGGTTGGCATTCGTTTCATAGCTAAAGCATGTCTGTGTTGAACACAGTAACTGCTGCTGCAATCTTTGATTTATTTTTTATTTTAGCATTTACTCTGATCGTCCAGCCAGCCATTATTTTGTACATGTCAATGCAATTAGAACAAAGAATTTCATGATCTAAAAAAAATCGTCCAACAAATGGAAAACTTTGGCACCTGTTGCATTGGAAGGAATCATTTTTACAAGAGAAATTCTACTTGAGGGTTCCTGGTATTTAGTTGGAGGGTTTCAGCATTTATGTCCTGAATCATAGAACAACCTTTTTATTTAATTTTTGTCTTGGGTTAAAAAAAATTTATAACAAGTTCTTTCATTCAATAGTGCGTCGTCTTGTGGGGGCTGAGTCATCTGATTCTCATATTTACTATGTGTTATGTGGGGAAAAAAGTATCGGTGATCTGACTCATAATGACACCTAATGATGTATGATACAAATTATTTTACATTTCTACATACAGACAACTTCGACAACTTGCACAAAATATAACGAATCTTTAAAAAGTGAAGAAAGCTAGTTGATCTATCTCAGTAAGTTTTTATTCTTGTTAAACATTTTACAAATAAACACACACAAGCATTTTTATTCTATTCGTGTTCAATTTAATAAGTCAAATGGTTTAAATTTAATCTGCTTGGCTACAAAATGTGAACAAAATTATCTTTATTACATCAAATATAGAAAAAAAATGGCTGAGTAGTTAAGGCGACTGACTCGTATTTGCCACGCTAACAGTTCTGGGTTCAAAGTCTACCAGAGCCCTTGGTTTTTCAATGGATTATAGTAAAAATGTACTTTAAAGTGGTTTGACCCCTTGTCTGCAATACCCAATGGGTAGTAAAATATTAAGCTCTCTGTATGACAGGAATTTACTTTTTGGAAAGAAAAGGGATAATAAGAATTAATTGTTGACAGTTATAATTAAAACAGTGCATAATTTATTTAAAACAACAAAATGACTACAAAACAACTTGCGAGCAAGAAACAAATTTCTTTAGTGCTGTTCTTCTTTCAAAAATGCAGCATAGGACTCTTCATTCATGAGCTCTTTCAGCTCTGTATCTGCTTTGCTCATTTCAACTTTAAATAGCCAGCCTGAAATAAAATTATTTTTTATTAAATTTTGAACTTAATACATAAAGACAAAGATCAAATGAACATACCTTCTTCATAACAGGACTTATTAATTAGATTGGGCGATTCTTCTACTGCACAGTTTTTTTCAACGACTTTTCCCGATATGGGAGAATACAGTTCACTTGCAGCTTTAACACTCTCTAACGCTCCCACCTCGTCTGAAATTTTGAAAATATTATTAACAGAAAACATAGTGATTAATTATTTCTAAAAAATAGAGCATAAATAACAGAAAACATTTGTTTAAAATACTATCTATGGTTTAGTTTTATGAAAAAAGTTAAGTTACCATGCTGGCAAACTTCTAACCCAACATCGGGCAGTTGTGCATAGACAACATCTCCTAAAGCCTCCTACAAAGGAAAAAAAAAACGAAAAAAGTTAGTTTTACATTTGTTTTTCTAATTTATTATTATTTATTAATTACCTGGGCATATTGCGAAACACCAACAGTGCCGATTTTGCCACTCACTTCAACCCATTCGTGCTTGTCACTGTACAGCCTGCCTAAAAATTGAAAATAATAATATTTTTAAAACAAACTTGGAGAAGATAACAGTAGAGTAAATTGCCTTGATTTGAAGGTATTGAATATTTATGAAGTTGATTAAAGGATAAATACATTTATTGTATATTATATAGATATGACAACAGTAAAATTTCAAACATGGCTTCGCACAACTTTAATTTATTGTATAATTTTGTGTTTGTTGCAACTAAAAGTTGATTTGAAAGTAGTTGTAATTCAAAACATTACAATTTATGGTAAATACACAAAATGTAACAATAACAATAGAAAGGATTTTACTACTCCTTGACCATTGGTCAAATTTTAATTAAAATGGTTTTGGTCCTTGATGTTTCACTTGGAATTTTCTAAAAATTACATTTACCAAGTTGTAACTAATTTTAGTAGTTTGTAATTTACCATTTTATTGTAATATATTTTGAACCTGCCGCATCGAACAATATGCAGTTCGAAGAGCGTAGCAGGAATAATTTTAAATCCTTAACAGTTAATCTAAAAATGTGGGAAAACAAGTGTATTGTTTTTAAGGGGAAAAATTCCAAGGTCGGATCTGAAATTTTTGGCCATTCCTTCAAATACCAAATACCAATTATTAAAACGTAATCTAAATAGCATGACCTTCAGATAAGAGTTAAAAATGTAAATCAAATCTAGATTAAATAGGTTAACATCATACGCAACGTTCCCAATCACTCTTGAGATACAATTCGTACAGATGTAATAAAGAGGAAAATAGAACACGAGGATAAAATATATGTAATGATTTCAGTGAGTTAAGATTATGAGAAACAAATGGATGGAAAAAAAAAGATTGAACAAAAATTTACAGTACAAGCTACTAATTGTAATAAACATTATAAATTTTGAGTTGATCTGACTGCTATAAATTGGCAAAAATTTATCTCACATCTTGGATGAGATTATTTTACAACTTTTTTGATCAGCAAAAGAAAAGTAAGATAAGCTATAACAAATCAGAAATTACATGAAAAATATCACTGTAATTTAGATAATTTTCATTTAGTCAATTAAAACTAACTGCAAGATAGAACTGTTAATTATTATTATTATTAATTATTAACACATTATGAACGGACATGCTGACTTTGTGGTTGAGTAGTTACATCATCCGATTTGTATTTGCCTGGTTCTCGGTTCGAATCACAGCATAGCCCATGACTTTTTGATTGAGAATATGATGAAAGGGGTGTCGCTGGCCGCAACGGTTTAGGCGTTGACATGGCACTTATCACTTTACGGTAAAGGTCCCAGGTTCGAATCCAGCGGTATTGTAAATTGGTTTGACTCTTCATGTGCTACAACCCTTGGACGTTAAGACTGCATGTCAGAAATACTTTACTTAATTTACTTATAGGGTCATGCTACAGTACTATTGTAATAAACAGTAAGAAAAAACAATTCATAATCAATTGAAAAACACAATTGAGATCAAGCAACTCTCTTTTAATTAATTAGTAAAATAATTGTTTATTTATATTTATTGTTGTTTTAACTAACAGGGTCCAAAGTGAGTATAATGGGGGCTGATAAAGTAATTTTTTTTTTCATATTATCAGCAGTCAGTTTTTTGTTTTTAATTTAATTATGAAATAAGCCAATGGTTCATTTCTCTTTGCTATTTAAAAAATGTGTACGTAAATTAATAATAAATTGATAATAAGCTCTCGTCTTTTCATAGTACAAAAGAGACTCAATATCTTAAGAAATTGCCATAAATTCTACATTATGAAAATGACAACTAACCAAATGAAAGATAATTTCGATAAAATCGTGCAATTCCTTGGCTCTATATAGAGAGCAGGTAGGAATGCCATGTCTGTGTCCCCTGTTCAGATACTTGGAGGAAACAGGTGATGGTGGTGAGGATACTAGGAAGTGGGGTTTGTCCTCCCCAGGCTCTGAAGCTTTCTGACTTATTGTTCTTCCCAATTTCAGTGCAATCGACTCAATCCTTCTTCTAAGAAGTATTAGGTCATTGACTGTTGCTATAATTACATTCCCTAGGTTTTTTCTGTATCTCTATTCAGCTGTTGCTTCATTTGATTTTGTTATCCCAAGTATAGGTTTGGGGCCTAAGTTGTCTTGCAGATCCTCCGCTGGCCAGTGTGTCTTCTTTTTCGTTACTCAAAATTTCTTTGCAACCTGGCACCCAAGATATCATCAGATTGCTGTGTTTCCCCAAGTTTTGGAGATTTTGGATACATTCACTGAGTTGGATGCAAATTTTTGCACAGTGTTAATAGCTGCTTGTCTAACAAATCTTATGAGGATTTTTTTTGCTTTTAAGATTTTCTAGGGTGTATTTCTGCTTGAAAGACCAAGTGTACTTCCCTAATGAGTTTGATTGCTCATATTTTGGGCTTGTACAGAAAATGCCCGATTCGGTTTCTTCGTTTGTTTTGGAGCCACCAGATCATTGTATCTGATGCTCTCCTGAGTTCTTCTTCTCCTTTATAGTCTGTTGAGACTTGATAGGATGTTATAAAGAATGTTTCCGGGTGTTTTTTATAAATAAATATAAGCCTTTAGTTCCAGCAGTTCAAATTGATAAGTAGTGTTATATGAAAAAAAAAAATAATAAGGCTGCGAGTTAAGGGGCTGAAGATGATTATAAAATAATTGAAAAGCTTCCCATGTGAATAAACCTGGTGGAACTAAAGGCTTATATTTTTTATAAAAAAACACCATTATGGAGTTCCACAACAAGAGGCTACACTTAACAACATCTTGAATATTTCCGGGATCATGTAGTCAGTCCCCATTTCTAAGAATGTGTGTCTGATTTTATTAATTGTGGTTGTGTGCCCGAATTGTTTACTTCCTATCCAATTTGATTGATTTTGGAGCCTAAATGAACTTTTCCTAGTTTCTCCTTGTATGTATGTTTCCAGTGGAGGTAGGTTTAGCAGTGTCTAGCGCATTTGTAAAGGTTGTTCTCATTGCCCCTATGATAATTAGATTTGCTAATCTTTGTATGCTACCTAGTGTTTGGGTACTTTTTGTTAAGCTTTGCTCCACCAGATTAACGATCAGGACAGAGTTGTTTTATTTATGTAGTAATGATAGTTTTTGTCCCTAATAGATGTAAAGAGTGAAGGAGGAATATTGACTACTCCACTACCCTAACTGATTGAATGGTAAAATAAGTAAGAATGTATTTAAAAACGAGTAAGATTTAGGGTTTGGATTTAGGAATTGATGCGTTGCGTGCTAAAATGATGTTGAATATGAATTTTGTTTCACGCCCTCCAGAGTGTAAAATTTATTTATTAAGTTATATAATTATGTAATTATAACTTAATTAATTAAATTATACAATTCCTAACATTTTTCTTTAAAAAAATCTCAATAGCCTGTAAAATTCTTTCCCTAACCTAAGACAATTACAATATTTGATTACAGACCATTTTAGAAAAATTCTATCATCAAGTTCAATTTTTTGTTACAGAAACTGCCAACTTTGTATGGCTGTTGTGTTGACATGGCAATTCATCAAAGCGTCCTTGATTTGAACCCAATGTGCTTACTAACGGGATTTTTTTATTCAAAAACACTAGTTCCCCATATATCACTTCGGCTGTTGAGAAGATGGAAGTAAGTACTATAACAAAGTTTCAAGAACCAAATATAGTTCAAAATCTAATGATATTAATTCATAACAGCACCTGAGAAAAATTTATCGTGTTATACAAAATCATCTTATCCACTATGCATGCCAAGAACAAATTCAAATACTTACCATTATATTGTTGATTAACAATTAATAAAAACTGACATGGATTTTCGATGTTTTGAAAAGTTACTTTAACTCAAATGACACATGTACTGGAATGGAATAAGTGTTTTTGCTAATGGCTGATTTACATAAGCTCAAATCTACACATACATGTACATATGTACAGAGTTGAACCTATCACTTCTCACAGTCCACTGGTCATTCCAGCTTTTGTACTTTTACATTGAATTTTCGCCAGGCCTTGAAAATCACCCACCGTTAGTGTTGGCAGTTCAGGGCCAGGCCTCAGCCTTATCATAATCAGTTCCTAAATCCAAACCCATTCACACACTCACTCTTAAATACATTCTTTCCTAATTACATACCATTCACTCAGTAAGGGTGGTGGAGTACTTCAAATTCCCCCTGTACTCCTATTATATACTCACCTAATTGTCGGTTTATGGGTTACTCGATATTCAGTAATAGCCCTTGTCACGCTACGCATTCATGCTAATAAATGCATTCATTCTCCACCCACACACTAGGGACACAAAACTGTCATTACTATATACAATAAAACAACTCTGTTTCCTCCATGAATCAGAACAGGGGACCCAGGTATTCCCAAGTACAATTGCACCCTTCAATTAGGTGGGACACATCGATCAACCTTTCTCTATTGCCGGACACATACGTGGGCTTTGGAACAAAAGTGTCTGTGTGTCAACTTTGCATGGCCTATTCTTAATCGGGTGAGGATGATCCTTCTGCTACAAATCAGGTCTCATATGCACAAGATTTTCTGCTGATCCGGCCCAAATAAGTGTATTGATCTTTTTATTCAATTTGTTTTTGCCTTGTGAAAATCAAATCTGCCATGTACTTTAAATGCAAGCCAGCTGTGCTGCTGCCAAGGAAGATACCAGGAGCTTGTCCTACTGGTGATGTTTTCCTCTTTCTTACTCAGATTTGTTTTTTATTTAGTTTTATTAGCATTTGTTTTGTTGGTAACAGCTAAATTAGTGCACCTTTAAACTTGGTAGGTTTTAATACAACTTGACTAATACCATTTTAACCGTCTAGAAAATTCAAGTCATATACGAATAACTGCATAAGTGGTTTGATAAAAAGCCAGTGCTGAAAATTTGTACTAAAAACCATAAAAGTGCGGGTGCATAATGATACGTACTAAATTAGTATAACTACTAAACAGTCGATGCCGGTAGTCTGCAAGTGGGTGAACTTATTTATGCTGAATCAGTACTAGGTCTGTCTTCACTCATTGATTTGTTGAACTACTCAAAACCGTGGGTGAAGACCAATAAATGACCCCGTGCCGGTTCTGCCTACTAAAAAATCATGATAATAAATAAATAAAAAAAATTAGTACGGACAACTAATTTTTTTACTTTGCCTTACAGGCATTCAGTCAATACCATTTTGTTGGAACCCTCGCCACCCCTTATCGGCACTACCATTTGGGTAGCATTAGAAGGATGTGGATAAAAACCATACATGGCAGCAGATGCCCGTGGAAAAGTCCACATCCTCCCCGCTTCCCGAGAAGGGACAAATACATTGAATTTGATGAAATGTGAGCAAAATAAAAAAAATGTTACTACATCAATTGTATTTGTAGCAAAGGTCCAAACTTTAAAATCGCAATCCTTAAAAGGTGTGCCATTTGACTGATCTACTTTTGCCACAAGGTTGAAGATATATTTATTATTTTTTTTACACTATAAAAGCTTAACAATATAACTAAAAATATATGAAAATGTAGAAAATCAAGAATGTGCATTTTTTAGTGAACTGTTGTTCCATAATTTGTTGAAGCATAATTTGTTCGGGTCACAACAATTTCACATAAAAACCAATATGACATCACAAGAATAGCACCACACTTTAGACCCTGAAGATGACTCGAATAAAGGTCGAAACATCAGGGAAAAGAAAAGAAAAAGGTGTTTTGCTGAAATTTTCATTTGACTGCCTCTCACAACTCCAAAAAAATTATTGAACAACCGGTCACTAAAAAATACACATTCTTGATTTTATTCATTTTCATATAGTTTGTGTGATACTGTTAAACTATTTTAGTGTAAAAAATTAATAAATATTGCATTAGCAACCCTCTTATTAACATTAAGAAATTTAGTAACAGTAGGAGAATTTGTAAGGGAGGCGGACAGAAAATGAACAACTCAGAAGTGACTTTTTTTGTGACGTTTTGCATTTATTGTATCCTTTATCAGGCTTTTAGAATATGGAGATTGTGATAATGAAAAGATGTTTGTGCAAGTTACTAATTAAAATGTAAAAATTAAAGAATTAAAAAAATTAAAAGGGAGCGCTTATTGCTTGAATTGAAGCAATAATTGTAACCAATTTTGTAATTTCAGAATTTTTTTTGCCATTATTTGCCAAGCTGCCTTAATTTTTAACAAGTTCATATTCAACAGACTTTAACCAGTTTGATCTTGTATAAAACTGAAATTGTTTTCGCTCTCTGTAGAGCTGATTTTTTTTTGTATCTATCGCATCCGACAATCTTCATACGCCAGTTACCGAACTTCATTCGGTTGCAGTCGGTATGCCGTTTCTACCCCCCGGACATGTAAAAAGATGTGAACAAGCTATCCCCGGAGCTTGTTTTCTGCAACTGCAAGATTACCTTTCGGGGCGGAACAGTAGTTCCTCAGGTTGGAAGAGTTGAGCCGGATGGAGTTGACCGTCCTACACGAGAAAGCAGTCAGGCTGCTGCCTACAGCCGGCTGGAGGAAAACGAGCTGCCTGACGCGCTGTACGATATGGGAAGCTGCCATCGTGGACGTCTCACCGGATCGAATAAAATTTCTTCTCGAGGACGCCTATCAGCCAGTTATCGCTTTTGCGTAACAGTACAGTCCTTCGTTTTTACTCGCGATTATCTGACCCCTTGGATAGGCGGCGTAAAATAGGTCCTAGTCCCTCTGCAAACGGAAAATAGTTAAATAAAACCGACTTTTATTCTCGAGAATAGAGACCATTGATGGAGGTTGATAACAGGCTACCTGGGGCACGTGCTTTTTTTATATTTTTTATAAATATATACTTAATAGAAACAACCATTTTACTTTTTTCCATCCAAAGGAACATCGAAAATTATGAAAATTTCAAATACTTAAAGTATTATCCATAAACTTACCTTATCAACACGTGATAACTTATCACTGATAAGAGATAACAGATTTACCTGAGAAAAAAAGCAAAATGGTTTTCATAACTAAACCAAAGCTGCCTAATTTAAAAAAAATCACAAGTTTTTAACTTTTTACAAAGTTTAAATTAAATTATATGCACCTTTGGAAAATGGAAACAATTACAATTAAACATTTAAAGAAAAAACTATGTAGTGTTTGGTTATACCTTTTTTATTTTAAAGGTACAAATAGGACTTTAAGCCCCCTTATAAGTACATATATTAGAAATAAATTTAGCCTTTCATCCTGGAATAGCATTGAAATAGATCCCTATGAACAAGTCCCTCCTGAAAAAGAGGAGTGTCCACTTTTAGCTATGCAAATGGGTGACAACGTCCAACAACAAATTACAAAAAATAACAAAACTCAATGCAGAATAGGCTATCATTGTACTGCATGGATAGAAGATATGAAAAGGCTCTCTGCAGACTCAGGATTGGACATACAAGGCTGACACGGCTAGGGAATCTCCTTTGCTTGGTATATGAGGAACTGACAGTAAAATACATACTTAGCACATGCTATTGTTATACCACAAGTTCAAACTGCCTGAGTCCCTGCTTAAATTATGGGCGAGATGGCACCCCCTTATTTTCCTCTTTAATTTTTTATTAAAAATGGAGTTGATAGAAATATAGTAAAGTAGAATTGGGATCGATGAGTTTGGGGGGCGCCTTTGAGTGGTTTGACAGATCGGATGGGCAAACGCCTTGAGCAGTTTGGGGGATGTGCTCTTTTCCACAACGCAATGAAGGCAATCTAAATGGTTTTTTTATACATTTTCCACTAAAAACACGTGTAATCATAAGAGAGGACAAATCCTCAAAAATACGAGTGCATACACGTCTGTCCTGGGCTGGTGTTATTCCCTGCAATCAACTGTTTGATAGTAACACCGACTTTGAACTGACTATCAAGAAGCCAGCCCAAGTGACCCATATTGGTTGAAGGCCATTTATTACAAAAAGTAAAAATAATTTTTTTAGCTTTATAAACAGCAAAATAATAATAATAATAAATAATAAAACATAATAAAATATACAAAACATGACAATAATATATTCTTTAAAATATTATTTATAATCAAATTATGAAACCACATTACAAAAGAAAAACTGAAAGAGAAAAAAGGTAAAAGGAAACTAAAAAGAAAAGGAAGAGGGAAGAAAAAATGATTTATGTCATTTTTAAAAACTCAGATGATGAAATAAGCTAGCGAGGAAGTAGAACGAACTCCCCACGGAGGCCAATTCCAGTCTTGACCCTGCAATTCTGAACAATAAGGCTAAGATTTTAGAGGAGTGTTGAAGGCTTACCTAGTTTTGATAAACTATGTGGGAAAAAAATTGGTAGATATTGAGTACATTTATGTGATTTAATTTTAAATATGTGTATAAAATTCTCAATTTATGAGTGCTTAGATTGTTAAGGTTGCTGAAGAAGTTATATAGGAAGAGATATGACCTCTTGATTTAAGATCATAACAGTATCTAATGCAGGAATGATAAGCAAATAGAAAGCAATGAGCAGATTGAGAGTCCAAGGAAAGTGAAAAAATAGTACATCACTAAGAAAATAAACAAATTATTAGGGATTTAATAAGGAGAACTCTACCTTTCTGTGCAGTAAAAAAGGTAAGGATCGAAGAGAAAGTAGACTTTTTTAATAATGGAGCTCACATGTAAGCTTGGAGTTGTTTAACTATAGCACAAAAATTAATAGGGGAGCCATATTGGTTTATTGGAAATTAATAAGGACAGGGATTTGTTAAGGTTTAAAATAATTTTTTTCTTGACCGTTGGTTGAGAAAATGAAGATCATGGTAGAGCAGAGAGATAGCTTCAGATGCTGTTTGTAGGACGTTGAATGTATGTGTTGTCATCATCATAAAGATAAAATGAGATAAATTAAGAAAGCTAATTTAAGAATTCCTTGTTTATAAATGATAAAGGTCCAAGAATAGAGCCTTGTAGTACACCAGCTGAAAATGAAAGAGAAAAGGAGATAAAATTTGAAGCTTTAACTCTTTGAGTTCTGTCAGACAGATAGGAGATGAGATTAGTAGCAGTACGAAAAAAAGTGTCCATTTGCAAATAATCTAATTATTATTTACTTAGCCGAATGCATTGGAAAAAGCAAGAACAATAATAATACACTTATTAAAATCCATGTCTAAGGAGATTTTGTAAAGGGCTGTCTCACAACTATGAAATTTTTGGAAGCCCGATTGAAAAGTCAATATGAGCCTGGGAGTCAATAAAATCAGCGGTAGTCACTAGCAAGTGTGGATTTTGGTTTCAATTGAATCAATATAAGAAAAAAGAGCTACTAGCTTCTACCATGAGAAGATGATCAGTATGATAATGAACCAACCAACTTTGGTTAATTTGATGTAGGCACTAAAAGATGTAAATTCTACCCAAACCGAGATGATGGTCTTGAACCACCATTTGGAATGAATTTGTTATTGAAAACAAACATTTTTCATTTCCTGGCAAAGTGTTGATCTAATGTGTTCTAAGTCCAGCTGTGGTGAGCAAGAAAAAATGCCGTTTTTTAATATAAAAAAATTATTAAAGAATTTATTTTGTTTTCTTAATATGATACCTTAGTGGTCCATAGGTAATGGTGATGATTCCAAACATAGTTTTTATCTCAACCAATGATTCAATTGGTCAGTTTTTCATGAAAGATCTCGTTTAAATTGTATAAGTGATGCATAGAGTGTTAATGTTGACTAAACCAAGTCTATGGAACTGTAAAAGGAAAATCATTATGATGGTACAATTTTATAAAAGGATTTTTTTTTTTAAATCAACATACAAGGATCAAAATGTTTAGAAAGTAAGAAGGCTCCTCCAGGTCAACGAGGTTGTTAGATAATGCTCGCCTCAAAGGTCAAAGTGTCATCCCCTGCGGAGTGAGTTGCGTAATAATCTTGTGGGTTAATGACAAGAGTAGAAAAAGAAAAGATAAGCTGAGAAGAAAAAAAAAAATTAAAAAACAGTACTTTTTTTATTTGATAATAGACTGAGAGGAAAAAAAAAACTATAGTTTTGGCATCTTACAATATAAACTGCAATATGCAACAATCAATTTAGTTTCATAAAAGTAGGTTTTAGTTTAAACAAGGAACATAAACGTTCTTACAATTTTTTTTTTTTTTTTTTCAACAGGAAAATATAAAATGGAGGGACAATTTTGACTCGAATATTAGATCAAAAATTTAAGATTAAAAGTTTTAAATGATTTTTTTTTATTTACAAACAACAGTACTTTACAATTCATGTATATATATTAAAATCTAGAGATAGAAATCGGTAAAAGATTTGTCTCACACAATTTGATCAATTTGTGTATGAAAATAGAATTCTCAAAAAAATATTGTGATTTGAAAATGTAATCTCCTATTAATAGGGGAATGTTGCTTAAATTCATGTTTTTTAAATGTTTGTTTATCATTATAATAAACCGATGTTGTAGGATCTGCCATTTGGGTTATGTACAGGTACGATTACAGGTTTGGTAATGCTCCACTCATACCAAACTGATTTTTTGTCACACAGCCTCCAAAAATGAACTTCAAGTTCATCTCCTTTCTTCAATTTGACCGGTTCCTAAAGTTAAAATATATAAATATTTCCTTATAAATTGTATATTTGTTTGTTTTACCTTTAACGGGAAAAATATCGGGAACCAGCTAAACATTCCTGTCGAGTAACTGTGGGGCACTATGCTGAGTGTTACGTCTTTGTACAATACAGTGTCAAAATAACCTGAGAAGCCGTTTAGGACTGAGTCTTGTTCCACATGAAACTTGAGTATGCCGTATCGTCTATTGTCTTGATTTTTGTCTGTTAAAGCCATTACAAATTATCGAAATTAATCAATTTACTGACAAACATGTTTATAATTTATACCTTTATTAGGATGTATAAATGTAAACAATGACTTAGCAGGAGCGATGGTGTATGTATTGACTTGGTAGACAACATATGGCATCTCAAATTTTGCAATTTGTGGTTTATCACCAGTGTTCGTCGCCCTGGCCTCATTGAAAAGCTTTGATGATTGTGTCGGACACAAGTAAGATGTGTACTTACAAGGTATGCTTATCCCGTCATCTGGGGAGCAAAAAAATGTCTTTATAAACGAAATACACTCAAAGACAAAAATTGGACACTCGTATTTTCTTGTTTATTTCAAACTAAACGTTGTTATTTCCTCCTGAGAACTTTCTCAATGTACCTATTAATTACAACATAACTATTTTATTATAAACTAAATTAAATGAGATGTTTGAAAGAAAATTCACTAAAACACCAAAAATTGTGAATGATTAAAATGAACTATCAATTTATAACCTAGTTTTGATATTAATAACGCATAATACCTCCTCTGGTCTCAAGCCGTAAGTCTCCTAAGCAGCAAATAAATAAGTAATCAGATTTTGTCTTATGAAAAAAGAATTTCCATCAAGACAGTTTAAAGCTGTTTAGTGCTGGTTGAAGGCAAATATGTCTAACCCGTCTCTTTATGTTCCATAAGTGTCCTACAGGATTTATGTCACGAGAACATACTGGCCAATTCATTGTGGTAATCCTTACATCCTCCAAGTAATGGGTGGCAACTCGAGCAACGTGAGGTCAAGTGTTATCATGCATTAACATGAAGTTGCCCCTAATAAATAGAGCGAATGCACCACAGCTTCTAGAACTTCCTCAATGTACCTTAGTGCAGTCAAAGAATGATAATCAGTTCGGTGTGAGCATGGATGTTTATTCCGCCCCGTACTATAATTGACTGCCTTTTAAAACTCACGCATGGACGTCTTTTCCACATACGGTCTTGATCGTCTAACTGTCATTCGCAGTCGACTGCTACCACTTTGAATGAGACAGGTAGCCCTGAACAGCTGTAAGCTATTGTGGATAGCACACCCAGGACTAAGGCTAAGTAACGGATGCTATGTCCATCACTGGCCAAAGCATATTTGCTCGGGTGGTTTTTCTTATCTTAAAACCATGCTTTTCAGAAAAAAATATTTACTAAAACTTATTGATTCATCAAAGAAAATAATTAAAAACCAATTAACTCACTCAATAAGTTGGATCTGGAAAGAATGAAATTTAACTGATTTTCTTTATTTTGATAGTGTAAAAAACAAAAAAAACTATACGTATTAATGTTTTGTTTATGTTTTAAATCAATTAATCTTTAATATATAGTTATTCTGGAAAATAAACAAATAAATACAAGTGTCTTTTTTTTTGGCTTTGCATGTATAAATAATGATAGTTGTTAAATCATCACCCTTGAGAAATTTCTGAGCGCCGTCAAGGCATTCAGGAGAGAGTTCATTGTCTCCGAAAGAGCCTAGTAGCTCTGATACTAGAATATCACATTTTTCAGGTGCTTCCCAGACCCTCATGTCACTCCCGACCACTTCGACCTTCTCGCCCCACTCTTCAGCTTTGAGTGAAAACAAGCTATAAATGTAAACTAATTGAATAATTTAAAAGCTTTTAATTTGAAATGAAATGTTAAAAACGAACGTCACTAAAGCGTTTGGATTCTTTTCAACAGCATAGCATCTAATCTTCCGTTCTGCTTTGACTGCTGCTTCAAGGGCTGCATTCACAAGAGGCCCTCTTCCAGCTCCAACCACCATCACAACTCTGTCAAAGAAAACAACCTTAGCCCCCAATAAAACTTTTCCATTGTGAAAATATAACATTTAGGCTTCTTTGTTAAATTAATGGGTAATATTCCATTATTGAAAGTTTCTAGTTTTGCTAAAGTAAGTTCTAGTTAGGTAAATAAATGTACTTACTGAACATTTGTACTTGCTTCGTTATCAGGTACCCGATCCTGAAGTGCTTTAAATATTGCTCGCTTGTATTCTGTGTACTTCACTGGATCCCTTTCAAAAACTTCGTAAGTACTAGATTCTAAATTGTCCATCAACGGCTGCAAGGGTATTTGCAAATGATCTTCAAATCCTTTAGAATAAGGGGCTGTGTTTTCATGTTGAGTCGATGTCTGTTAAAAATAATAAAATAACAAGGTAATCAAATAATGATCATAATTTATATCCTTACCTGGTAAAGATGGTTGAGATATTGCAAATAATGTTTGATCGAACTGTGCTTGCTGTTTCCATTCAGAAGCATCTGATAACCAAAATAAGCACAGCGTCTTATGAAAGCTTGATGTGCAAGTGAAAGTACAGGGAAGCCTTTTTTGTTTGTAAGGAATATTGAAGTGGGGATCACGATGACTTTGATCGGTTCACCAAACCATCTTGTGATAACTTCTTCTGACGGAAGGTCAGCAGTAACTTGCAAAGCTACGCCTAAACGTTTATCCGAGTTGCACATTAATTTAAAATTGTTCCACCTAAGATGGAACAAAAATTATTACTTTTTGTTATAAAATATGGTTGTTTTATACTGACCAATCCCATGGGTCGGAATCATCACAAATTTTATCCTGTCTGTAATCGTCGGCCAAAACTTGTGGACTAACCATTGGGACATGAATCCAAATCTGAAGGAAAAAAACAAAAACCCTGAAAACTATTCACCGTTAAAATCCAAATTATTAAGTGCTTACTGATATCTGATATTCATGGATGGATTGATTGTAAATGAGTCTTGCCAAGTTTGGCTTCGGTTGGGAGTCTAGCGTCAAAGTCACAGCAGGTAGGCCGAGATGTAAAGCGTACATGAATTCCTGGAGAAAGATTTCCTCGCTTTCCTTGCGTACTTCCTCGCACGAGCTGTCCACATCTATATAATCGCTGATTTTCCCGATTACCATGTAATTCCAATCTGTCACAATATCACGCTTAAATACGACTGAATTCAATAGTAAATTCAATAAATTGTCGAAATTTCATATTAACACAATTGAAAAAGATTATTCAGAAATCGTGAGATGAGGTCTGGTGTGATGTAGGTTTCAGAAAAACATTTTCTTTATCGTGCCAATGTTTCGATCTTTATTGAGATCATCTTCAGGGCCTGGGCGTTGGCCAAAGAAAATGTTTTTCTGAAACCTACATCACACCAGACCGCATCTCACAATTTCTGAATAATCATCGACTAACAGTCACTAATCACCACACAATTGAAAAAATTGTTCTTATCAACCTTACAGTAATCACATTAGAATTTTTTGGGCTATCTTCATAAAGTCTTGTGATGAAGTAAACTTTTTTGGGTTCACCAAGCTTTTGGTGATTTATATCTCCATCCTCAGAGCCTATTTACTGAAAAATACATTAACAGAGTTCTTCAATAACTCACTGTAACTATGTTAATGTATATATTTTTCAATAAATACGCTCTGAGGGTGGCGATACAAATCGTCAAACGTTTGGTGAACCCAAAAAGTCTACTTCATCACAAGACCTTATAAAGATAACACAAACAATTGAAAAAGTTCAGTTTGTAAAGATCAAACTGATGCTACCGTAAACTCGTTTTATTCCACATGTTAATGATAAAATGAACAAGGGCAAATGCGCAAATGAATCATGCAAAAATGGGTGCTTGAGGCAAACACATGGAGCGCTTGGACAAGAGCAATTTTACGACGGAAGTCTAAGAAGTCTTTTGTCTGTGGTATCTCTATTGGTGCTATAAACTAAGAAGTATTGGTTCCATCCTATTTTAAGAGATAGATTCACAAATGGTATGTTCATTACTCTCTACCCAAAATTGCATGATTATGATTTTTTATGAATTTTTCATTGATTTTAGAATGACAATTCTTGACGATTTTTTTGCACTTGATTAACAGCAATATTTTATCAAGACCTCAGTGTGTGAGGAATTCCACCACTCCATTAAAAACACTCGTCATTAAACATCGATTATGTTCACCTATTTTACAACCCAATACACATCCAAAATTATGAATAAACAATTAATATGAATATAGAAGGAATTTGTATAATTCAAACAGCAAACAAATATAAATTACCTTGGCAAGACAGTAATAGATCAGACCTGGTAAAGGCGAGATATGCAGGATCTGCACGCCCTTTTGATAAATCCCGTTTATATCTTGGGTGTGCGATAGGTAACGAAATAAATGAATATCTGAAACAAAATATGCATATTTTAAATATTTTCTTCACCTTTGAACCCTTCTCAGCAATCAGGCTAATAAATATATTCACTCAAACAAAATACTGTATACCTGATTATTCAGAGATCGTGAGATGTGGTCTGGTGTGACGTAGGTTTTAGAAAAACATTCTCTTCATCGTGCCAACGTTTCTATCTTTATTGAGATCATCTTCAGGGTCTGGGATTTATAAATAGTGTTTAAATTTTACAAATACATGTAGGATGTGAAAAAAATAGTTTATACAATGCTAAAAAAAGTTTTTAATTAAAAAAAAAGAATTTATACAATGATAGAAAATTTTAGATTTAGAAAAATTTCTATCATTGTATAAATTCACTTTTTTTAATCTAAATTTTTTTCTAGCATCGTATAAATTCATTCTTTTTTAAAATCTAAAATTTTCTATCATTGTATAAATTCATCTTTTTTAATAAAATTTTTTTTTAGCATTGTATAAACTCATTTTTTTCATATCTACATGTATTTGTAAAATTTAAACAATGTTTGTAAATTGCAGGCACTGAAGACGATCTCAATAAAGATCGAAATGCTGGCATGGTAAAGCAAATGTTTTTCTAAAACCTACGTCACACCAGACAACATCTCACGATGTCCGAATAATCATTGACTAACGGCCACTAACAACCACACAATACTGTATACCATGGAGTATCCATACTTTTTTTTCCTGAAAAACTTAATGCATAAATAGGCTACTTACTTCACTTTAAAACTACTGTCAAATTAAGAAGCTTGCTTGCTTTCTGTATGATTTTATTGCTTAAACATTATATAAAAATGTGTACAGATTAGTGACCGTTAATCGATAGTTATTCAGATATCGTGAGATGCGGTCGGGTGAGATGTAGGTTTCAGAAAAACATTTTTTTTATCGTGCCAACGTTTCGATCTTTTATTGAGATCATCTTCAGGGCTCAATAAAAGATCGAAACATTGGCACGATAAAGAAAATGTTTTTCTGAAACCTACATCACACCCGACTGCATCTCACGATATCTGAATAATTATATAAAAACTCATCTGTTAGTTTTCTGTGTGAAATACTTAAGTAACTACACAGTTCTATTTGGCAAAACGTTACGACCAACAGAAATAACATATAAAAGTAAATTACAACAGTTGATATTCGGACAGTACAATTAATCCCCGAATATGTGGATGCTTTTAGTTTGGCTACTTCACGAATATATTTGTGCACTTTGAAGCAGAATTAGCTGACCAAGGAGAGGACCGAATAGCTGAGTACCCACCATTAGTCGGTGAATTGTGCATGTCTGAAGCTAGTTTTAAATAAATCAGTTATGTCACAAGAGATCAAATTTGATATTCAAGTGGATTTTTTTGCGATTGCCCTTTAAATCCTTCCCACATAATTTTTGAATGTCCAGAATATGAAAATGAAAGAGACAAACTGCTAAAAAATCTGAGCAAAGTCCCAAACATTTCAAAACCAATAAACTTAGAATCTGTCCTAATAAGCAACAATCCATCAGCTTTCAACATAATCTATGGATTTCTAAAGTCGATAAACGTTTCTTTTTTGATTATCTTCAAGCATGAAAATTTAGAAGATGAGAAGATGATGGAGCTGAATGAGTGGTGCGAGCGCGCGGCGGGGACCTGGCCCTGGTCGGCCGATCACGCTCGACAGTAAAATGAAAATAGAAGAAAACTTCATGGGTAATATGCCAGCGTAAACCCCCTCCCCCAAAAAAAGTGGATTTTTTAAATCGATGCTTTCAACTTGGCTATTTAATACTAAAATAAAAAAAACATTATGCAATTTTTTGAAAAGAATATTATAATGTTAAAATGGTATGATAGCATATGGAAAGAATCGTGGAAATCTGGATGATATTTATCGTATTTGACAGTCTTCTGTTTACTTGGCAAAGGATAGCTGAAGCAAAATGTGAACTCAAGAACCATGGTTTTGGATGTAAACTGCTCAAAAATGAATATGGATATTTATAATTTATTCTTATTTTATTAATTTTAATTAAATTAATGAATATATTCTTGTTAGTCAGATGAAACAAAAAAGAAAACACAAACAGACAAACAAATGTTAATCCTCATTTTTAATAACGGATTTACTTAGGAATAGTAAACATGAATAGTACTCATTTTGTAAACAACACCTTTTCTCGACTTTTCTCCATTTTAATCCAGTTGTATTCTCTTTAACTATGACAAGACATCATCTTGGACCAGAAGTTTGCAATATTTTTGTGACAATGAGCCATCGAGGTCACCTGCAAGTGGATATCGCAGAGGTAGTTGACGTTTCCTGAGCTGAAGCCCGGTTCTGAGAGACTGGAAGTGCCAATTGGAGGACCGGTAGTGTATCTCAGCGCATTACGATGCTAAGGGAAGACAAAAATATTGCCATTGCTGCAAGACGGAACCTTTCCTTAATGCACGCCAGATCCTAAATGAAGTACAAGATTGTTTGGGAAGGCTTTTATCAACTGGTAGGCCTCACATCGTATGACTCTTTGAGACAAACTGCAGCAACAGCCCGTCACCAGCAACTCAGGAGCTGCACAGTGCAGCGAGCACCTAGAAGAGAACACCAATTGGATGCTGTTTTGTTCACTGATGAGTCACATTTCTGTCTGTACAGTGATAGCAGATGCCGAAGTGTCTACCAAGAACAGGGCGTACGGCCCAATTCGTGCTCCCTATAGTGCAGTTTGGAGGAGGCGGTGTTACTGGAGGATGAACTGGACTTTATATTTTTGAAGTCAATCTCACTCCAGTCCGTTATGTCTAAGAAATTAACGAGGAATACATCCCTCAAACTAGGGATCTCATTGAAATTGATTTTCGATTTCTGGATGACAATGAGATGTATGATTCTCAATCAATGTTTAGAAAACCTGGGAATTTCTGCCCATTGTCTTCAGAACTTGAGCATTTGTGGTATGCATTGCAGAGAAGGTTTTTCGATCACCATCTGCAACCAGTTGACAACTGAGGGCAGCATTGCAACCTATGGAGTGAAATCCCTTATAAAGTGACAACCTTATTGACCTTGTTCCCACTATGCTGGACCAGTGGTTTTGCTGGGCTGGTAAAACTGCCTTAAGGGCCAGTGGCCGTATTTTTATATGAAGTTGTTCTCATTTAGCCAGATACAGCATTTTCATCGGACATTTTGTCACTGCGGAGAGCGGGCGAAATGTCTGGATCGGCGTAATGTGAATGAGCTCTGCACTGCCATAGCCTATTCATTAGGTAGCTCGCACGTTTGGAAGGGGTATAGAGAGTATACCCAGGCATGTTGGTTCATTTTGGCATTCGCTTTCTGCATGCACGTGCATACCATGGAATCAAACTTTTTTTACCCTGGAAACTTTAATTTCGCTGGTCCAAGAGAGACCTGTACTGCGGGATAAAACTATAGATGAATACAAACAAAAACATCAAAAGATGATGCTATCATTCGAAAATAATTGAAAAACTTTGTTTCATCACTTCTCAGTTCACCTATTCATGTTTCAAATGTTCCTAGTGAAAATCTTTCCTGTAAAGTAGGATGTACCCAATGTTTTCTTTTTACTCTATGCCGTCTAAAATACCACCACAACACAATTACGTCATCCATCAAGCACTCAGATCTGACCTCGACTGAGGTGAGGACTTGAGTCTCCAGTTTTCTTGCCGAATCGAGTCTAATGTGAACACCTATGTCCGGGAGCCGGTTTCCGGCATAGTGGGAACGGGGCTTAACAGGTTCAACAGGTTTTACCTAACTGAGGACATTATACACGATATTAATTGTTAAAAAAACTGTGTACAATAAATTAAATTACGGAATTAAAATCTTTTATTTTGCTATTTTTCAAAATCCCTCAATTAAATTTTCCTTCATTAAATAACAATAATTTCTGTGTGGAGTTTAGTGACCGTTTAATTAATGATTATTTAGAGATCGTGAGATGTGGTCGGATGTGATGTGGGCACAAGTGGCGTTGCGCAACTGTACTAGAGTACCATTAAAACAAGACAAAAGCATCTGGAGTTTGCAAAAAAATGCGTATAGTGTACGGGGGACCTTGTTTGCACAATTTGTTGTGCAACGTACGTTTGCACAATTTGTATGGGGGGCTTTAGTGTTGTGTGTCGTATTGAGGAAGCGGCACATTTCACCTCAAAGAAGCCGACACCTCATAGAAAAATTGGATCTCTATCCTTACTTCCTTCTCCATTTCTTCAAAACCCAACATATATAAACAAAAAACATTAATATCTCACTAACGCTCTCAACACAACACACAACAATGACACACCTACACAGAAAACACACGCTTTGAGTGAGTACAAATACTTTGATTAAACAAAATATCTATATTGTGTACATTGATGTATAAATTAATATTCATATCTTATATGTATTTGTATAATTTAAACAATGTTTATAAATTCCAGACCCTGAAGATGATCACATTAAAGATTTTAAAGTTGGCATGTTAAAGATGTTTTTCTAAACCCACATCACACCAGACCACATCTCACGATCTATAAATAATCATAATAATCTCTAATAAAGTTTAATACAATTTATAATAAAAATGTTAGGTAAAGTAAATACTACAAAATTGGTATCCCTATTCATTTTTGAGCAGTTTACATCTTGCCCAAAACATGCAGATATTGATAATGATAGCTAAAGGTGTTGATTTAGTTAATCCCAGTGGATTGTTTATCCTGATGATGATGACACAGAGTAAAATCTGTGCAGAATGAGCAGTAAGATGCCTGAATGAATTTAAGATGGTATTTGTTGAGCGTACCCGTTTTCGGATGCGAAGTTGAGCGAAGTCCTGATGTCGGTCCCCGCTGGAAAATCCAGGCCGCAGGAGGCCTTCTTCACCATGCTGCTGCTGTAGTGCTGTTACCTCCTAGCCTTCTCGGCACGTGACAGTCCGTCTGCTGGGATGAAGATGGTTGTGACTGTTGACCCGTTGAAATCGGTAAAATCTTCGTTTCCTACGTCCGGGTTTATGTGCGGTTAATCAGTCAGCTATATCGGCCGGGACTCGGGGAAGCTCTTCGAACGTACCTATTCGAAAAAAGGGCCGGTGCGGGGTCGAGTGAGGATCGAGGCTAGGGATCGATTTCCGAGAGGTTCACTTTTCGAACAGCGGCTCTGTTTTGTTTACAAAACACACACGGCTTTGAGTCGGGGTACTTTTCAAAATTAAAGACTGGCGGACTTCAAAATTCACCTTAGGACGGGACCGATCGGCGGCCGTGGAGGGCGAAATGCGCCTATTCCGACTTAAATCGATTCTCAAATCAAGAGGGGTTCGTTGATATGGTAAGCGGAAAAGGACTTCTGATGAAACGTGAAGCAGTTGCGAATGGATTTTTGCGACGGGATCGTCTCTCAAGACTTTACTGGTTTTCGCCTCGGACCGGATTTTATTTTGGCTGATTCGAGCCCCTAGTCAAAATGATACCTGGCTTAAGCAGGAATCCAAAGTTCCCGAAGCTTGTGGTCTTTGATTTGGGTATGTTTTCTTTCCTTATCAATGGTCAAGACCTTTTCTCTATGTATCTTTGCTTATCTTTTATTACATGCTTAATTATGAACTGTCACTGTCAGCCAAAATCCTTACTTAAAACATGAAACTATTCTTTATCTACCTATGTCATTGATTTTATAAACGATTTGATGCTATTGAGACAATGCTTTATTCCTTGTACATGTATGAAACTGATGCAACTCCTTAGAGAAAAATTTATATTGCACAGTTAAAACACCTTTTTTTCTTCTTTTTCCCCATCCTAAATCCTGCCTGAAACCCCATGCTGGCAGAATCAACAACCTAGCTAAAATTATCATTTTTAGGGAAACGCTAAAGCCTTCGTTTGGTCTCACTTATAAAAAGAGTCCAACGGAAGGTAAGAGAGTTTATATATCTAATTATTGCTAATTTCCCGTTTTTTACAGAGGAAACTGGAAGGGCTTTTAAAATATTTGCAGGTGGTTTTGTCCGGAAAACAATTCAGATTTTTGTTTTCTTTCAATTATCCCTCTATGCAGGGTGTCCTTTTTAGATGGCCTGGCAGAATTTCTCTTGAACCAATGACACTATAAAAAAATATGTCTTTAATATTCTTTAGTCTAGATTCAAATTTTTACTTTTTTTTTGGAGAAAAATTATACAGGGTACCTCAGACCCAGTTCAATTTCAACATCTCAAATACAACCCTATACATCCTGACACATTGATCCAGACAGTCTATGAGATTTTATGCGCTGAAAACAATAACAAAAAATGACAAACTTATAGCAAAAAGTTTGAAAAACCAAACACACACACAAACAACAACAACAAACAGTCATTTGGTTTGCTATTTATTAATCATATTTTATGTACGAACTGCCTGCCTTGTGTAAAGATGCAAAGATTTATTCTTTTAAACCACTCCAGAAATGGGTTGGCAGGGATTTTCCATCCTTTGCCGCAGTCTTCAACTGAGGTTGCTGGGTTGTTGTGACACTGTTTTTTAAATGGTACCACAGAAAATATTCAAGTGGAGTAAAATTGGGTGACCGAGGATGCCAAGAGATCAGACCTATCCTGGAAGTGACGATTCAAGTAACGTCTCACCTGCTAAGAATAGAGTGCGGGGCATTCATCAAGGAGAATCAATCTTTGTAGTTGTTGCAGAAGAACATCAACTAATAAAAATTGAAGAACTGAGCACTGTTTAAATTACTATCGAAAAAATAAGGCCAAATTAATTTATTTCTGAGATGTCCGCACCAAATGTTGATACTGTGAACCAACTGATAACAAAAGTATGAAAAGATTTTCCTCTGCCCACATTCAAAAATTCCAATGGTTTAGTATGTCTTTAGAGGTGATCTTGGATTCATAAGTACCCAGGATGGTATGAGGAACATTGTCTCCAGCCTCTCAAATCGACCTTTATGCAAGGAACGTTAGACGCCTTTCATAATCACTGTTTTCTTCCTTGCCATTTTCCCCCTACCCATTTGACTAGTAACCGTTTGATTTCCCCCAAAGAACATCTGTCTAGCCACTCCATTTATAGCTTCTCAGGCCTTGGATCTGATCGTTTTCTCTTTGTTTTTTCTTAGCAGTACCTTTTCGTCTGCGCAATCAGATCTATTGGAAGAAAGGAAGTTAAATCTTGTAGTGCATGCATGGATGATGTTTTTTGTTTTGCTAGGATATTTAATGTTATTAATAAAGTTTAGAATTGGCACATGGATTTCAGACAATAGTTTAAATTTATATACTCACTCCGTCATTACGATTTTTATTTATGAATTTTATCCTGTTGGCACAGTCTATTTTTAAAATCAGGGTAAAGAAAGAACTAATTAAAATCAGTGTAGATGCATGGCACATTTTTGATCTAAACATCATTCATAATAAAAAACAATGACAACAATTAATTAAGGTTTTTAGTTGAGATAAAAAAGTCAATGGCACTAGCAGGATTCGAACCCACGATCTTCGGCTTGATACGCCGCTACTCTACCACCTGAGCTATCGTGACCTAACCACTTGGAAGATCGTGGGTTCGAATCCTGCTAGTGCCATTGACTTTTTTATCTCAACTAAAAACCTTAATTAATTGTAGTATATTAATTGGTCAAGCGGACCACGAAATTAGTGAATTTGATGACAATAATGATGATAGAAAACATGATTTCTACAAACTATCGTCATTTATATTCCTAGAGAACTGATTAAAGGCATTGCAGCATATTGTACATTACATTCTACGACTTCGGACCTCCATGCTGAAATCTATTAGTACATTTCAGTTGCTGAACTAAATCCTCTTCACTACAGTAGGAGATTCAGAATACCAGATTATTTTATTTGTTTATTAAATTGGACATTTCTTTTTCCAAAGAAAAAATTTGACTATGGTAGTCTCTAGTATTGGTTGTAAAATAATTCTGTAGTGTTTTTCTATAATTCATATAATGTTTTTTTAAAATGTTTTTCTATAATTTCTATAATTACCCCACTTACGTTAAAACAATGTTTATATAGTTATTTTTGTTCATGCACTCGGAAAAGGAGTTAGGTTTTTTTTATGGTGGATTTGAACCCAGGACCTTAGTTAAGTCGATTTTATTTGAGATCTCTTATTTTTACAAGGTGTTTTGTTAATTTAAAATGGAAACCCACAGCTAAGTTTGCGAGGAAAATTTGTGATGTGTACGGTGTTGACGCTTTAGCAAAATGCGTTGCCCACAAGTGGTTCGCTCGGTTCAGAAGTGGACATTTTGATTTGGAAGAGGCAAAGTACTCTGGTCGTCTTTCACCCATTTGACCAAATTCAAGCTTTGGTCACAAATTAATTAAACTCAACAACACGAGACATCTCGAATGCAACGGAGAAAGCCCTGGGGAAAATGTAATGACACACTGTTAACAACTCAAACCTGAAATATATCCCAAGAATGTGCTCAAATAAATTAATTTTAGTGTATACTGCACACAGCTAAAGTCAGTAATTGACCAAAAATGACTAGCATTGTCTAACCTTGAAGGGGTTGTTTTCACCAGAATAAAGCTTGCCCTTACATGCCTTTACATACTCACACAGTCTTCAATCCAGAATGATCGGAAATTATTGGAGCTTGACTGGAATTTGCTACCTCACTTACCATATTCGTCCGAATTACCCTCGCAGATTTTCTATTGATCTGGGCTCTGCAAAACAATTAATAGAAAAACTTACCTGGATTGGAGGAATGGAGAAAATACAATGAGCAGTTCATTTCTCAAATTCCTAAGATGTTCTGGGAGGATGGAATTACAAAATTACATGAAATATGCAACTAGTAGTGGAACAAAATAGTTCATAAATTGTTGAATAATTTTATGGAATTAGCGACCAAAAAATGCTATGGACTCATTTTACAACCCAATATCAACATTTTTAAAATCAATATTTCTTAATGTTTATGCATAATTTTCTTGGCTTTTATATTTTTATTTTTATTAATTAATGAGAACTTTGGTGGGATTGGAAGTATGTGCTTTATTACTTTGCACACAACTGAAGTGATTAAAATCACTAATTGACAAAACAGCCAGTATTGTTAATCGCAAGGGTTTGTTTTCCACAAGGATAACGCTTGCACCCACATGCTTTTAAAAAAGTGCAGACAATTTTTATGCTACTCTAACCGATGTATTCACTTGACATTGACTCTTCAGATTTTCACTTATTCCGGGTCTTACAAAACTTGTATTAGTATGAATAACTTTATATCACTTGAGGACTGCAAAACTCATTCATTGAACTTAATGGTTGCTGCGTATGGTCACAACTTCATTTAACTTTTATTTATTTATTTTATTTTATATTTATTTGATTGTTCCCGATTTCATTGTCCATTTGATTATCTTTTACATAAACATTTTTTAGATCTTATTTATATAAGGGCGAATGGGCTTTAAATTCACTTTGGAAATACAATAAATTTATCTGTACGACGCTAAAACTTAAACTAGTCAAAATGCTTATTTTACAATTTTTTTACTTATTGCCGTACTATCTACTTTTTTTCTCTTAATCACACTTCTATTAATTAGATTAGAATACTTTTTAATAATTGCTTAGTATTTGTATTATGTTTATGAAGAAGAGATGATCTCAAAACATGACAAGTTCATTCTGGGTATTAATTTATTTATCTTAAACTCCGATCTCTTATTTACTTATGTAAAATTAAAAATAAGCTCTGCCCATTATACTTATTCATTATATTCAATTTTAATTCTTCCCGTAGTTTAAATATTATAAAAAAGCTTGCATCGTAAGTCCAAATATATGAAGTTCATTTTGAGTTGCTGGGGTGCGTCTGTGAAATATCCTTTTGCGGCATATTCAGATTTTGTGCAAAAAAAATCCTTGGTTTGATCAAACTAACTCAACATGATGTTGTTGCTATTCCGATTTTCTTCTTTCTTTTATACTTTTCCTTTATACCTGTTCGCTCCTTTGTTCATATTGAATTATGTTAATATCATAAAAATTTTGTAACATCTTTGTCATTTAATTATTTTGTATTTTTCATGCAACAAAACATATTACACACGTTTTCATAGTAAATTACAAAATCACACTAACACTCAAATACGATTACTCCATTCTCCTAATGACTGAAAAGAATATGGATAAGAGACCTTCTAAATGATTAATTTCATTTTAGAGTGGCTACCAATAGGGTAACTTTCTTTATAACGCCCGCAATACCACAATCATAAATTGAAATCCAATCTGCTGGTTGTATATAATACAGTTACAGATAAAAATAAATGACAGAAAAACAAATTCTACTCACTGTAAGGGCCAATCCCTACTATGAATTAAAAAAAATATATATATATTTATAATTCTGTAATGAATTATTCATTAAGGTAGAATACGCAGTTAAAGAGATAGCATGTATATTTGGCTCCTTTTATAATTTCATGTATATATATTTCAAACTCCATGCTTTTTGCAACACAGTAACTACTGTATTGGCTTTTTAACTTGCTACTTTTTATGTGTAATTTTTTTATTAGTCATTATCAGAATGTTAAATTTTGTTTATTAGTAATTGGCATGTCCAAAATGAAAAGGAGTACGCAAAAGATTTTCCATTTTTGTTTGTTTGTTAGATTACACATTATGGCCGTTTTACATAGATACACATGTTACACCACCTTTTCGCCATTCAAGGTAAGTCAAGTTTGTTTAATTTAATATGAGCAATTGTTTTGAAATTAGCAATTGTTATTGATTAATCGATCACAACAGCAATGGCAAGATTGTAGACCACTTTGGGAAGAAAGTCGAAATATACCCGCAAGTCCCAGAAGTTCTAGAGCACTTGCACAAAGAAGGTGTACAGATGGCGGTGGCTTCAAGGACAACCGAACTCGAAGGTGCGCAGCAATTGACGTCGCTGCTCGGCTGGGACAAATATTTCAAATTCAAGGAGATATACCCTGGATCAAAAGTGGCTCATTTTCAAAAGTATGCGTTTTCTACAAAACAGGGAAAATGTTTTAGCTCTGTTTAAGGAATGTGTTATTTGCTTAAAGGTTTAAAGAGTACACTGGATTGGCCTTTTCTGATATGCTTTTCTTCGATGACGAATCAAGGAATATAACAGATTTGAAAAAGCTCAATGTTACCAGTATTCTTGTGAACAATGGAATGACTATGCGTCTACTCATGGAAGGATTAAACCAATTTGCAAGATCTTCATAATTTTAATTTAATCAATTGTTTCATATTATTATTGTTAACAATTGTAACTGGTGCAATGTAAATTTTTTTAATGATATGTTTATGTAATATTCCACTTATTTTTTTTTTAATACATAAAATTCTGTTTTAATAAGACTTATTATTTTAGAAATTAAAATAAAATCTATTTATTAGGTTTCGTGGCCCGCTTGACCAAATAATTTAATAAAATCTTGGCTCAATCACTGTATGGCATTCTCTGCATACAATTTTGAATTAAAAAAAAAAAAAAAAAAAGTTGATCATTTTCAACTACGAAATCATTGAGACAATTTAAAATGGAGATTTTGGCTGAAGTTGTTTCAATTTTATATTTGTTTTTATGTAACTGACTGATTTTAAGACGATGAAAGCTCTGCCTTCATTGTCTGTACTGACTCCCTGAGCGTGGTATCGGTTGTTCAGGGTAGATTCGGTGGGCCTTCTCATCGTGCTCTTTTTAGAGAGATATGCTCAACTAGAGCGCCTCAGAAAAATGGTGGTAGTCGTCTGTACTCAAACAAAGAGATGGTGACGAATGTCAGACGCCAAATCTTGGATGTCTCTCTTCCAGACAGCTACCTCCATTCGGTCCAGTGTTGCTGTATGACAAGTAATGAATGCTGTGAGAGAGCATTGGTAGCGACAGTGGGCCAGGTTGTCCAAGAAGCTCCTGTGAGTTAAGAGCATGAGTACAAGAGTGTTAGTGTAGTTGTCAAACCAACACAAAAGCTCTATTGAACATTCGTCTTTCTTACTCAATTAATGGTGGGATTCGAACCTATGACTTTCAGCTAAATATGCCGCTGCTCTACCGCTTGAGCTACCGTGACTTCGTTCGCCCATGCCACAAACTTCCCGTTTCGACTCCCTGTTTTGTTCCAATTGTAAGCAAATTGCGGCTTCATATAGAAACACTTTTTATTAACGATTGTACTACATTAGCGGGACTGTGTACAATTCACATATTAACAATATAATCAACTTTTTAATTATTTTTATCAGCTTATGCTTAATTATATAATTAATTAATTATATACAATTTTTTCGAATTGAAAGTTTGAGGCCTGGACGATCGATGTCACAGTAGCTCAAGTGGTAGAGCAGCGGCGTATTTAGCCAAAAGTCGTGGGTTCGAATCCCACCTGTGATACAAATTTTTCATTTCAAAAAATTGTGTATAATTAATTAAGTATATAATTAAGCACAAGCTGATAAAAATAATTTTAAAAAGTTAATATTTGTCTTTTGTGCAAATTTGTATTATTTTAAATCTTTGTGGGTCCCACAGTTGTCATATAGTGGTGATGGCATTTTCTGTTTGGTCCTGGTGTATGGGCCAAGTGGTGACTTGGTTTTTTTATTTAAGGCTTTTTTTTAATTTTAAGATATTCTTTTCGCCAATGTTTAAAAATTAAGCCTTTAAGTTCAACATCAAGTCTAATATGAGACTAGGTCCGGCCAGAGGAGTGCCATTTATTGTGATGCTTTTAGTCAAGTGGTTAATAGCTTCATTATATTTAAAGCTAGTATGTCAGGGGGGGTCAATGGCTGCAATGGTTTAGGCATTGACACAGCGCTCATCACTGTAAGGTGAAGGTCCCGGGTTTGAATCCAGTGGCCCTGCATTCGAACCCAACATAAAACACACCCCTCAGGGTTTGTATGACCTCTGCTGTTGCGAACCCTGTAAAAAAAAATGTATGTCATATTTTTTACAATGCTGTTGTAATGCATTTCCCTCTTTTATTGATTTCTTCTTCAGATTATACATTTGTATATGAAATGTATGCTCATTTTAAAGTTTATGTACTCTAATCGATGCAGCATATTATTATAGATTTTGAGTTAAGTTTAGCATACACTGATATCTACTTAATAGCAGTTAAGCCAAAAATGCTGATAATCAATCAAAAAAGAGCATATTTCTCCTCGTAGTTGAGGTCATAAAAACCACAAGCTACTTTATGATTTATCAATGACCCGCCTGTAAAAATAATGACTAAGGGAATAATGTATTTTTGATCAATTTCCAAGTCTGAAGACTGTCTTTAGTCTTTTAAAATTGTATTGAAGGGATATTGGGGCATAGAGAAATTTGCCGTGAATAAGGTAACACCTAAGTTTTATCCAGGAGACTTTTAATGAGAAATACTTTTTTTTTGTATAATTAATATATACAACCATTTATGAACAAATAATTATTACATCGTTAACTTTATATACAAAACTTATTTTCCCTTGCTATATTTTATTTTTGCACTGCACAAGAATTCATACAGTTTATTGTATGTCGTTTTGGTGAATGAGGAAAGAAGAATTTCGTAGTTAATAACTTCTCCCAAGATGCTACTTCCTTCTTCTTTGTATTTTGCATTTCATTTTGATGTGCTGGAGATCTTAAATGCAACCGCACACTTGGCATTGAGGTGAATCCTTTTTCCCTATCTTATTGAGATAGTTGCCACTAGCCCATTATTTGTCAGCAGTCTTTTTATGGTCGTGGTCCTGTTGTAGTAATCTCCACGGTACCAAGGCTCTCATCCTACTAAGGGGAAAATTCTCTTGAAAAATTGGCCTGCTCCTGCGGACGAATACGTCAATTGCCAGTCCACGAGAAGAGTCAAATGTAGGGATCTTTTTATGTCTTTTTTGGAACTGGTATGGCCAATGTGAGTCCAGACTCCGTTGCTTTTTTGGCTAATTTGTCAGCTATTTTATTACTTTTTATCCCCACTTGCGCTTGTATCCACACTAATGAAACTTCCAGCCCATCCGACTGTATTTCTTGGATACACTGGAGAATTCTCATTAGTAAATGCTCCGTGATAAAACCCTTCTCATTCCCTTTTAGTTTTTTCATTACGCTCTCACTATCTGAGCAGACCACCGTGTGTCTAATTTGTTTTTCTTTCGCATATTCTAGTGCCTTTACTATTGCGACCAATTCTGCAGAGTTCATTGACAGATTATCTGGCAGTCGAAACATTGGTTTCAGATTTGCTTTGGGGTCGTAAAAAGCACAACCTACTCCCTTTGTTGTAACCGAACCATCTGTGAATATGAAGTGTCCATTTGGAAAACTGGCCTTTAATTTGGACCAACACAGTTGGTTTGCTATGCTAGCTGGGTGTTGGCTATATTTGTTGCAAAATTTAATGTCGGGACTTTTAAAATTTGTGCATATTCTGCTTGGAATGCCGGCAGAACACTGTTTTGAGAAATACTTGTTAATCAAATAACAATTTTTGTTTCAGCGATTTGCACAATAGTTTTGTGTTTCATCTCCAATACTTTATTTATGTCACATCTGCTTTTTTCAGTCATCTTACAATTTTCTTAGAATAAATAAATTTGTGATATGTGTTTTAAAGCACTTTATCTTGTCTGTGTTGTACAAGTCATGTGAAGGTTGTTTTACATAAATTATTTTAGGTTTTTATTTAAAAACAAATCAAAGTTCAATTGGTGTCTTCTGAATGTATTGATAAAAATATGTTCAACAGGTTGTAGTACTCTGGACTAGTGTGAGCAATTTATTAGCGTGAATGGAGAGGCTTCTCGCCAAGTACTGCAAGGAATATCAAGTACTCTGGGATAGTGTGATTGCTAAGCAGATTATCATGTTTTTATCTTATTTCTTTTTTTTTTAAATCGAAAATTGATGAGGTCCTAAGGCATAGAGAGGCTAGCAGTAAGATTAAAAAAAAGAGTTGGTTTCTGTTGTATAATATGTAATAACTTGGCTGGAGAAAGAGGAAAAAAATTAGTAGGTTTAAAACACAAGAAAAGCTAAGAAAGAGAGAAAGAGAGGGCTGGCGATGACCTGTGTAGTTGCTGGCCCTAAAATTTTGACATACAATTTTTTGTTTATAAGTATCGTACTTAGAATTTAAGTGTTATTAATATTGAGATAAACAATACATTTTGCAATTTTTCATTGGTATGCGAATATTCCTAACTTTGTACAACTTAAAAACTTCAGTATTATTGGATTTGTTTTCTTTTTCAATTAGATTACACGTTATGGCCTTTTTATTCTGATGTGCATGTTCAACCGCCGTTTCATAACACAAGGTAAGACTAGGTTGTAATAGTCACAATCCATTGAGTACTTATTTTACAACTATACCTAGCGAAGGGCATGTCTATGATAGCAAGGGTGTTAAAGTGACTGTGTACGCCGAGGTCAACAGAGTTCTTGAGAGAGTGCATAAAATGAACATAATGATGGCAGTCGCGTCTCGTTCAACTGCAAGTACTGGCGCCAAGGATCTAATGCACCATTTAGGTTGGGACAAGTATTTCAGTGCGAGGGAGGTATTTCCAGGATCGAAAGTGACACATTTCCACAAGTAGGCGTTTCATTAAACAAAACGGATTATTTATATTTAGCTTTTTTCTTTTTGTAGAATTAAAAACCAAACGCATGTGCATTTTACGGATATGTTGTTTTTTGACGATGACCCAAGAAATATAAAGGATATCTCTGACCTGGGTATAACATGTATCCTTGTTATAGGAGGAATGAAGATGGCCGATCTTCAAAAGGGATTCGATACGTACAAAAGAAATCACCAGGGCCAGTTTTAGCATTTTGTAAATCTAACCCAAACATTATTGAAACATTCACTAACAATTAAATAAAACAGTTTAACTGTATAATTAAGCATATTAAAATTACAAAATGCTTTAGGTTTTACTTTTAATTGAAAAGTTTGAATTCAAAACAAAACCCCTTAATTTATTATTTATCAAATCATAATTGTTTAAATCACTCAATGATCATTTCGTGATTTCATTATAGTTCTGTGTGATTTTTCTCTTTCATGACACACACGGTTTTCAGATTTGACTCTTTGGCCATTTCAAGTCGATAAATGTGTGTCTCCATTTTTAACAAGGTAAATATAGCTTATGAATAAAAAAGAAGAAAAATTTATTATTTAATTGTTTCAGAGATGACTTAGTAGTAGATAGTCAGAACGCAGTGTGTAAGTTGTACCCTGAGGTCTTCCAGCTGCTTAGCTATCTTTCAAGCCTAGACGTTTCGCTCGCGATCGCCTCTAGGATAACAGATGTCGCTGGGGCTGTTCAGCTACTACACAACTTACTCATCCGAGATTTCTTCGATTTTGTGGAAATCTACCCGACCAGAAAGACCCTTCATTTCATCGAGTAAATAAGTATAAATTTTCAAATTCAACTGACGTCTTGTTTATATTTTGTTTTCCCCCAGGCTGAAGAGAAAAACAGGCTTTGAATTTGAGCAAATGATGTTCTTCGACGATGACTGGAGGAATATAAAAGCGGTATCAAAACTGGGAGTGGCCTGCTATCAGGTTATTGGTGGTGTCCGGTTGGATTTTGTTAAGTCGGTTTTAATAAAATTACTACAACATTATTTTTTTTAATTAACATTTTTTCATACATTCATCAACAAAATGTCAACACCTTTCCTTACAAAAATATTCAATTTGAAAATAACATTACAATGAAATTAAATATGGATGGAATCTTTTAGAAGAAAGTTCTTTGTATTACAAAGAAAACTGTAGAAATCCAGTTTTCATAGGCACGTTTATTGTTAAATACTACCCAAACACTATACTACCCTATCTATTATTTAATCTACAATACAATTATATATAAAAAAAAAAAAATCTTATGACCATAAAAATCCTAAATATTCTAATTAGTCTTTGCTTATTTAAAATCAAATGACAATTTTATTAAAGCTTTTATTTGTTCAAATATACCAACAAAAAACAATACAAGGAATGTTACAGTTAAAAAAGTACAAAAAATAAATAATTTACTATGAATATTAATATTCTTATAGAAATAAATACCGGTTTTTTTAGACCAAAAAGTAAAAATCAAACATATAAGGCACTTTTTTTTTTGGAGGGAAGAGTTACATCACAGTAGCTAACTGTTTGGAGAAACACAAATAAGTATACAAAACTTGAGTGGGAGAAAAGACATTGTTGACTAGATTTGAATTCAGTGGGGCACTTTTTATTGTTCACCATTGTGCTTTTAGTCTCTAAAATTCCTCAGGCCTGAAAAACAGAACGATGCAAGAATAAATATGGTGATTACATATGTTTCTGACAAGTTATGTTTCAAACCAAAGGCTGATCGATTAGCTTATGGAACATGAACATTTGGAAATTTGTTAAACAGTTGCTGGGTTAGCATTAACTCAAACACGTTTTGGCTTTGCGCCACTTTAGGTGAGAAACCATCTCTCAGAAATCAAAACAAACCGCAGACGGACTAAGTGCCAGTTCAATGTGCGTTCGCTGACTCGTAGATCCAATCATCAACATAGAAATTGGTTTATGTTTTAATTATATTGAGTATTATATTATTTGAAGGTCATTTGATTGAAGGTCACGTAAATGGTCATTGGAAGAAGAAAACATCAAAAATGTGTCGAGCTTTCGTCATATATTATAACATCTTCAGGGAGTAATGGTCCAGATTAAAACTGTCAAAAGTTGAAGTTAAGCATTCTTTACAGGTACCGGAAAGGAAAATAAATAATTTAAATACAAAACCGTGTGGATACTACAAAGAGGTTTTTATAGATGAGTTAAGAAGACCCTTCTGTAATGTCCGCACAATTTTGGCGTTTACTTCATCTGATGACCGTTTACCTGATCATCTCTAAAATAATTTCACTGGTCGATCTTCACACAGTTTTAGTGCGATTGAAATTTAATTTTTAATTCACTAGTTTTCGTGGTCCTCTTGACCAATTAATATCTTTCAATTAATTAATTCAAAAGGTGGGGGTTGAGATGGGAAGTTAGTGTCCAAAGTGGATCGAAGTCACGATAGCTCACGTGGTAAAGTAGCGGCGTATCTAGCCGAAGGTCGTGAGTTCGAATCCCGCTCGTGACATTGACTTTTTTATCTCAACTAAAAACTTCAATTAATTGAAAGATATTAATTGGTCAAGCGAACAACAAAAACTAGTGAATTGAATAAGTTAAAATGAAGTACATCTTCACTAATGCTCTCCGTGGTCATTTCAATTGTCACTGAGAATCAAATAGATTACACGACATTTGAAAAATGGAAAAAACGAGGGAAAATTCAATAGGTGGAATTGAGATGGGAAGTTAGTGTCCGAGTGGATCGAAGTCACGATAGCTCAGGTGGTAGAGTAGTAGCTGAAGGTCGTGGTTTCGAATCCCGCTCGTGACATTGATTTTTTATCTCAACTTAAAACCTTAATTATTTGAAAGTTAATTTTTAATACTGAAGAAACTGATTTTTTAAAACAAAAATAGTGTGAGATCTCTCCATGTTACCATTTTTGTCTGCATATCCTCACCAGGCTGGTTTGTCAAATGTTTTTTTTACATTTCATTTATCTTCAGTGTGTCTATGCCAAATCCCCTTAAACACGTTACGGTTGTCATTCTAGAACGATGAAATAGACCCTCCCCACATATGGACTTAGTTCCAGAGCAATGCATCTTTTCTAGAAAACCCTGCTTCTCAGAGCAAGTTGTAAGCTGTTGGTTTGTTTTTCCAAACTGAGTCAGTTTCACAGGCCTTTAGTATCATTTTATATTTTTATTCATTTTTTTTCCTGGCCTTATAAACTTTGCATATTAGCCAAGGAACATGATTGATCATATGCTATGCGTTTTGGGGGAGAAGGGTTGTGTGAAAAAGGCCGGGGCGACCGTGGGAATCACACCCATGGCCACAGGGTCTACAGCCAAGAGTCTTATCATGCTGACCCCTCAGCTACCCCAGTCTCCGCTTTGTCAATGTTACTGTGAAGATCGTTTTTCAATTTGATCTTTTAGACATTTTCACGATTTAAAAAAAAAAAAAAAGTCAACCATTATAGTTGTTTTTTTTTTCTCTCAAAAATACTTTCATTTGAAGGTATAATCAAGGACAGCACCTTAAATTTCTTTGTTCACCTTTTGTTCCTCGTTTTTTTTTTAAATTATATTTTTTGTATTAATCATAAATAAATAATAAATATATAAGTATTTTGTAAAATAATTGTTAACATGTAGTGAAAATGGAAATAATTACTGAATTTGTAAATAATTATAATTTTTTACCACACGTTCAAACTTAATTTACTTTATATGCTTTCAAAAATGTCTTATTTATAAATATAAATGAAATAATCGTTTTGCTATTGTTTTAATTATATGTAATTATCACAAATAAAGTTCAAGTAAATGCAATATAAATTTCATTTACGTACTACTTTCCGTAATATTTTTTTTTTAAATTTACCATGAGTTAGTAAGTAGAAACAAATTACATACAATTTTCATAGTATAGGAGCGGGTGTATGTAAATATTGAGGGGGTAAACAAAGATATTGCTGGTTTGCCAAACATGACCTTCCCTGAATATGGTCTTTGTTCATTTTAATTTCTATTCATACAAAACTTAAAAAAAGTCAGTATTTCAGGAGTGTCTTAAAAAATCAGTACCGTAATGAACGAGTTAAATCCGCATAAACTATGTACCAAAACACATTTATTTATGGGTGATTCATTCTCAATACTGACCTATTTGTCAGAGTTTGTTCTGGTTTCAATTTTTCATTCTGAAAAGCGATATCTAATTATCTTGTACCGTTAAACGTCTCAGATCAAATAATGAAGATGGGAAAAATATTTAAATGCATCTGACAGAACAACACAATAAATAAAAAAGAAATAAATCAATAATTAAAATTAATATCAGTGTTTTCTTATTTAGACTCCTTCAAACCGTCATGTCATTTATACAATCCAAGTGCTTTTGATTCTTGATAACCACCTTGCAATGTCAAAGAACTACTGCATATAATAAAATACGTAATTTCCTGACTCTCTTATATAATATAGTCAATGATTTAAAATTGAATTTTAATACAATGATTTATCTTTATATAAGGTTTTGGTTGAGATAAAAAAGTCAGTCTCAAGAGCGGGATTCGAACCCACGACCTTCGACTAAATACGCCGCTGCTCTACCACTTGAGCTATCGTGACCTCGATCCACTCGGACACTAACTTCCCATCTCAACCCCACCTTTTGAATTTTCCCTCCTTTTTGCCATTTTTTATCTCAACCAATATCTTATAAAAAGATTAATTAATAGAAAACCGTTATTTGGTCAATCAGACCATGAACTCTAATCAATCTAATGATTTATTTAAATTTAATAAGATTGTAATATGAAAACATGTCAGATATACAAATAAAGATGAAACACTCAAGAAAAAAATATTTGAATTATTAATTGTATTATTCGATTAATGAGACAATAAAGCTGGCTATCAAATGCAAGCTGGATATTTATCTGGCAAGGAGTGTGAAACGTTTTCATGTGAACTTCTACACATAAAATGTTTTGTGCATTCCTCGTTTGTAGCTGCAGTGTTCGTCCGAATTTTGTTCTGGCATATTATAGAGGAGATAACTTTTCTGAAATTGAATTGAATTGATTGCTTCAGTCAAGTCGCCAAAGACAAGAGAACAGAAAATGTGGCTAAATAGTATTTATTGAAAAAAAAGAAGGTGTTTGATAAATTTGCTAACTTTTCACTCAGAGAGATCTGTAAAACGATGAGGACCATTAAAAAAAAAAAAAAACATAAATATAATAGGTAAATAATAAGATTTTTTAACAATTATTTTATGAACATTGGTTCAATAAACAGTACCTAATGTTTTTATTCCTAGATATATTCTAAGTCTATTTAATCTATACTAAAATCGGAATGTAAACTATTGTTCCCCTTGGCATCATAAATATAGTCTCTCCTGAATGGGAAAATTAGTTTTTCACAGACCATAGTGAAGTAAGACTTGCTCGTAGATTTGGATATATTCGCTCTTCGCAACTTTACACAATATTTCCGATGAATGAAAACTGACTCATCGACACGTTTAGATCGTTCGCCCATTTTCATCAGACAAACTCGAATTCAGACCTTCTCTGCTACCAGTGGATGCGAGACATAATGTGGTTTAAGTCTGGTCTACTCAGACCATCACACTTGCAACATTCGTTATCCCTCAATTAATTTTAATCGACGGAAAAGCAGATTATGGTTAGATTCTCCATACTGAAGCGAAAAACCTTCTGGGTCAATCGAAAGATGTTACAACTCCCAAAAATTTTCCATAAGAGATCATTAAAAAAAAAGTTAAAAATTTAAAAAAATTAATAATACCTTTTTTTCCTTTTGAAACACGTTTTTCTATGTATTCTGCACACCTTTGTTCAAACAGTCCTAAAATTGTTTAATGAAATTAACCAAACGATGAAGAAGAAAAATACATGCAGCCTTACCAAGTTGATTTCTTCTTTCCATCCTTTGTTTAATAAAAGTGTGGAAAAGGGCTGTTTCCGTGAACCATTCGAGATAGAGACGAACGCTTTTTGATGAAGGGGCATTTATGAACTGTTCTTTTTGGAATTGTCGATCTTTGTCAGGTACTGTGCTTATCAAGAAGTTGCTGTAATGTCCAACCAGCTCGACAAAAAGCCTGATGAGGGCTTCTGAAGGGGCGATGTCGATGCTGTGAACCGGAACAAGGTACAATGCCTGTTTCAACGACTTGCTAAGTTGTTCTGGTATGATTGAACCTTCGTCCCCTTGTCGCTTGACTACTGTTCCGTTATCGACATCGACAACTATCACCTAGAAATTTAACAATTGTAAACTATTCTTATTATTTTTGTAAAATCAGCCTTACATCTTCTATCTCAGAAAAAAACATTTTCTTTATCGGCCATTTCCTGTTTTTGAGAAGCCCAACTATGTATGGTGTGGGAGCTTGGAGTATTTCCGACATAGAAATAGGCAACAGGGATACAATAGTATGCTGCCACTCAAAAGGATAAAGCGATTTCAAAAGGCCTTCTATGCAGTCTGAAAGAACGCTGAAATATTATTAATTTTGATTAATGTTCTGTTGACAATGTATGAACCTATATATGTTGTATTTGTATTTGAAAAGTGAAATAAAAACAATGTCTTCTGACAAAATTTAAAAATGGAACGTATGAATGTATGTATAATTCAATACAAGTTATTAAATTTTAATTACAAAAATTAATACCTTATGAACGACCCGACCAATATTATTTTTCTCTCAAGTAGGAGACTTGCTAAAATCTGTATAAAGATTGGCACACTTAGAATTTGTAAAAGCGTAGAAATGTTTGAAGATTCCTGCCTTTCATCTAGAGAACTATGCAGTCTCCAATCGCCTATTCTAAAATCAAACATCCAGAATTATTATCCGAATATTTTTTACAGAGATGGACAGTCTTACAGGAGTGATTCTTGTTTTTTTGGAAATTTAGCCTGAAGCAGTAAATTAACAAATCTGTTAAACTCCAGCTTGGGTATGCCATGCTTGCTTTCAACAGTAGCTAAAATCTTTAACAAAATAAAAAGATAAGAAAAAAATTAAAAATTTCTTTTGTTATTTTTTAATACCTTGTAGTAAAGAGTATTAGGTCTATGGGAAGTAAGTATAACATAGGCTAAAGGAAGGCACACCAATGATCCCTCAGGCTGTACCCGCCTACAGTAAGCAAACGACCTCGAGCCATCAGCAGCTGTGATAAAAATTGTGTAATTGTTGTGCCTTGCTGATTTCGGGATGTAGTCAGGGACTTGAACTACAGACCAGTTGTCTGCATCCGGGAAGATAAGACTGGCAAAGTTGTCAGGCACTTTAATCTGAAATATGTAAAATGACATTTAATATGCTCAATATGAACGAATTGAAAACGTGAATTAAAATAAAAAATAATAATAAAAAAAGTCAAATGTCCCACTCTCCTTAATCCTGCAGCATGTAGTGCGGTACTGTGTACAGCAATTTCTTTTTTTATTGTACAATTTTTCCTATAGATTATGTCAAAAGTGGTTAGTATTCATTCTTTACGTTTTCAAGGACTGAGAGCGACAAGTGCCATTTTTAAATTTTCTTTATCTCCGTAGTTATGGAGCCATTAAAGAGAAAACTCATGTTTTTGGAATTGTGCGAACTGCTGGCACCTAATAATGTAAATATAATAATTAAAGACCGGATTTTCATGCAGCAAAAATCTTCAACATAGAAAAGTGTAATAAAGGTAAAAACTCCCATTTAACGTAGTAAACATTGTTTATGATTTGATTGTTTATGCAATCAATTATACTAATTTTTTGAATTCAATATGTACAAATATACAATTAAATTTTATAACTAAATTTCAAAATATATAACTAGATAATGAAAATAAAGGTGTCGCTTTTAGTTCTTATTTACAGTTTGTTGTTTACAATGATCCATTTCAAGCATTAATCGTTTATCAGGTTGAAGGAGTTACAAGCACATTTCTCAATGCCAATGGGACATTTTAAAGGAGGTAAATAAAAATCTATTATATTATTTATACACTTATCTCCATGTTTATGTTTATCTTTTTTTTTAAATTTCAAATCTAGTTCCCTCCATTTGTTGAAATGTGTAACACTGTTGTATTTCAATTGTGTTTTGTTTCATTTAGATGATGCTTAAATTCAGAAAATTTCTTTAATTTACGCAGGTTTTATTTAACTCTCGTTTTAATTTCTCTTCTGCCTTATATTTAATATCACAATCATTACGATTAACTTTGTAAATCCACTTTTTGGCCTGTATAAGCTACTCTATTACCATATCGACTAAGAATTTACCCACTTTTTCTGACAGTTCACCAATGTATGGGAAGCAGCGAAAATCTAATGATTCATTTTTGGTAGGGTTGCTGAATCCGATTGTTGCTTCTTTTAAAGTTAATTTTTTTATTCTTTTTTACTAGCATATATATTTCTTAATATCCACTGTTTTTAGCCAAAGTTTTAATTGTTTTTTATAATTAGCAGGTGTTAATGGGAGTATCAATATTCGGTCTATGAGCCACATGAATCCAGCAGTTTTTTAGGTCCATGGGTGAGAAGAATCTGCTGGTATCACGGCGTCAGTAATTGTGGATTTTCTATACATGTCTATTTCAATTAGGTCATTTATTATGGACAATTTTAAATCTAAACAACCATCTTTATTTATTTCCAGTGTGAAATTTATACTAGTTTTAAGTATTAATTATTGGATTCTTTTAGAGCGCCTAGTTTTCATTTCATTTCATGTACATTAAATATCAACTACATAGTGTTTCCAAAAAAAGGACAGATTTAATTAATCGATTTGATTTGAAAAGAATTTTTTCAAAGTTATTCATAAATATTTCAGCACAAAGTGGGGATAATGGAGACCCCATTGGTAGCCCTTTCATTTCATTATTAAATTTACTATAGTTATATGTCAGGCATATATTTAGGAGTTTTATTTTATCATTTTTTAGAAATTTGTTAAGTTCTCCATAAGTTTTGTAAATAAATTAGTAACATCAAATGACACTAAAAGGTTTAAAATTGTGGGTTTTAATTATTTTATCTAATGTAAGAAAACACCACCACTGTTCTGAAAAGCTAATGTATTTTTAAAAACAAAAAGCAATGAATTTATGAATGAAAAGAAAAATAAATCTACTTACATCTCTAGGAAATTTGGAGTGAATGAAGCCAACGTTTCCTCTGTTTATATCATTATCTAAGCCAATTAAAAGTAGAGCATCAATTAAATTAGACGTATCTTCATTCGAATAACGTTTGAATTCTTTAACTGAACAATTCCTTTTTGCATATATTTTCTTCTCCTGGATGGATTTGACTGAAAAACAAAATGTAAGACTGATTGTGATTAAAATTATTAAAATACATCCTTACTGTCTTTAATAGAATCGCCATCACTGTCTGTTTCTGATTTGGTATTGTTGAAAGGCTCTGACATTTTCATTTGTATCTAAAAAGGATTCAAAATTATTTATTTGTTTAAATAGAGGTAATTAATAAATGTAACTTACATTTCTAATTGTATTTTCATAAAGACTGATAATCGGTTTGACTCCATTCTGCGAAACTTGGTTGTCTAACATTATCGGGCTCGACTGAAATAACACAGAAAATAAGTCGGACCATAAGTCGAAACAAATGTTGTCCTCTGACCTCTGGTCAGTAGTGGGGAAAAAAAAGAAGATGTCTTATTAAGAAAGTTTCAGGAAAATGATTCATTCCTAATTATACGCGAATGGCCAAACATTTCACAAAATAAGTGTAAAATAAAAATTTACAACAAGGGTTACTAAATCTATTTCTGAATAGAACATCAACAGCGGGGAGCAGTGAAGGTCAACTATTTAGATTTCTAATGTACTTCCTAAAATACATACAATCAAGATCAACTTTGTCCTGTTACAGCTGGAACGATAGTTCGGCCAAATATTCGCTGCCATTTTTTGGAATTTTATTTAAAAAAACTCATTAACATTCAACAATGTAAATTAATTCCAGAAGAGGCACATTTTCACAATAGAACTTTATTGACCAACTACACAAAATCTATTCTGTCTTGTCTAACTTTGTCCTAACACAGTTAATCAGCTAAAGTTTGATCCAGTCAAACATTTCTTGTTCAAGTTGAAAAACAACTGTTTCCTGTTCAACTTTTGCACTGTGTTGGGTAATTTTTTTTTTAATAGTTAAAAAACAAAAATGAGCCTCAAATGGTCTTGAAATGATATGCTCAATTTATTAAAATTTTATCTTAAATATTGCCAACATTTGTAAATATTATTTGAGGGTGAGGAAGAAGGTGAGAGAGAATTTAGAGTAAACTCTGAAATGTAAAAATTGTTGAAGAAATAAAAATTACCAGATCCCCCCCCCCAGAAATTAAGAGGTTTGCCATTTGCTTCAGATTACCAGGCAAAGCTATGTGGCATCTTTGGAACGGAATTTTAATTTTATTTTAAATTTTAAGCCTTATTTTTGAAATTTTAAGCCTAATTATGATGCAGTTTGTTGATATAAAAATGAAGATGGGAGAGAAAATGAGAAAGACGTGGAAATTGCCAGACTTACAGATACGAAAAACAAATTTTGATTAATTTTTTATCTTAAAAACACGTCTTTAGTGCAGTTAAAATAGCCTTTACTTTCCTGAACTTGTGTTATGCTTATTGCGGGATGCGCAACCATAAAAAAGAGAAAAAAGTAAAAAATTAAAATAAATAATGAAATGGATATATTCTAATAACATCAAAACATATATATGAACAACTTTTTTGCCATAATTGTCTCAATTAATTGACCTCACCTTTTTTATATGGTTCTTTGGTGATTACATAATATGTTAATTCAACAAAACATGGCTCAATATCATTTCTGATACCAAAAAAGCAAACATAATCATTTATTACAATATAAAGAATTGATCTTAAACAAGGAATAGACTTTATTCCTTGTACTTGTCCAAACTGGTTTTTTGTTCTTATTTTTACACATTTTATGGTTCATGTTTATTAAATTGTTCTGGTTACATTTATTTGTCACATTCTAAATAATGAAATCATTTAAATTTGCCCCATGCTCATCAGTTACCTTTTTAGTTTATGAACTTTGAAGGAATCTGATCTTTTTTTAAAAATAATAGTTGACAAAACCTTCAATATATATTATGTACTTTGAAAAATCATTTGGCAATTGCACATTCATGTGATTTCCTAGTTACTTAGTTCAGTGCAATTGACTTGATCCTTTTCTTAAGAAGTACTAGGTCACTGACTGTCGTTGTTGCTATTCTGTTCCCTGGGTTTTCTTTGTATCGCATTGAGTGGTTGCTTCGCATCCAACAATTTTATACTTTACTTATGTTCCATATGATGACATTATGTTATTCACAACCTTCTAGTCATAATCAGAAGACAACAAATCAACCTGCTATTTGTCTAGAACAACTTCATTATACCTTCTTAATTTCTACATACCACTTTGTAACACCAGATAAACAATTAATTTCGCTAAAAAAATAACGCCAATTACCTTTCGAATAGCACAATTTCAAGACTGATGAAACTTATAAACAACCTACCAATGGAATATGACATTCTTTCTTACAAATCTACAACATTTCAGCTCTTTCCTACAAAATTTGTCATCTCAATTTTAACAATCTTTCCTTCTTTCTGTTTGTGTATTTTCTACTCTTTTATTTTCGCATCTTCCAGACTGCAATTATTACATTTTGTGAATAGTGTATTATTTTAATTGCTGATCGATATCAAATAAAATCTGCATGTGCATGTACAGAGTTGAGCCTTCTCGCATACACCAGTAACTTCGCCGTGAATTATCGGCAGGCCTCGAAAATCACCCACCTCGGGTGTTGGCAGTCCAGGGACACATTTTGGTCTTAACCGTCCAACCACCAATGTAAACAGCCCTGTTTCCTTCAAGATACTCGTTCCTTGCTCAAGATAAATTCTCATATTGGGTGTTAATCATTCGTGCTCTTCATATACAACCTTCCTCTACATCAGTGGTTCCCAAACTTTTTTGATCCATGGACCCTTTTTTATAGTTAAAAATTGCCCACAGACCCCCAAGTGAAAAAAGCCACATAAATGAATAATACAAAAATTACAAATTAAAAAAAAAGTTTTGTTGAAGAAGTATTTTTGAAATTATAAATTATAAATATATATAAATTATAATATTAATTACTTTTGTTTAAAATAAAATATAAAAAAATTAATGACTTGGATGAACGTGATGAGATGTTATGAGTGTATAATTTCTAATCGGTTTTTTCTTTTGTGATGAGGTTCATAATGGCACTGAATCCACATTCTACCGAATAGAAAGACAGGAAAGCAGTCAACAACTTCTGTACAATAACCCATAACGCAGGATATAAAATTGGGATCTGTTTTTGTAACCATAATCCTTGTTCAAACATTGGTTTAATTAAGTTCCTCATTTGTAAATATTTCAATAAACTACTCCTGTATTAGTATGGATTCATCTGTGTTTGGGATCTGAGTGTCCACATGTAAAAGGGTTCACGGGAAGTGAAGAATGTCTTCAAATCTTTGGTTCAGGTATGAAGAGCCGTTAAGTGTTGACAGTAAGCAAGCAAATCTTCATCTCTAATTTGCAATTTTGAAAGATTTGGAAACTGAGAGCATTCTCCTCTTCCCAAGTTTTGCTTGTAAAGAAAAAGTGTTGCAACAAATGCAGATATTACGCTTTTAGTTTTGATTAAATTTAATTGGTCACCTTGTAGTTTCAAATTAGTTTTGTTAAATTTCGCAACTAAATCAGACATATAGACTATGTCATTTTTTGAGTTAATTAAATTGTGTCGCAAATCATTGTCTTTGGTTTCCAAATCAAAGAGCACATAAAATCGATTTAAACATGCACTTTTAGATAACCAATGTATTTCTGTTTTATATTATATTATTTAATATTATTATTCATATTATATTAAACCTTTCGCGGACCCCCTGACGTTCAGAGACTCTCAAATCAATTTTAATTTTCCACGGACTCCATGAATGATATCAGGGGCCCGGGAACTCCTGGGGGTCCATAGGGACCACTTTGGGAACCACTGGTCTACATGTTGGATATGTACACACGTTTTAATCTTAAAAGGGAACAGGTAAAAATATACTCCCCATTATAGGGTTATTGTACCCCTTAGGAAGTAGTAGGAATAAAAAAAAAGATAATAATTTTTTTAAATCGAGCAACCTTTCTCTGCATGTCACATATGGTTTTGGCCAAAAATAAGTATCCGTGTGTCACCTGCATGGCCTATTCTTATTTATTGAAGAAAACCCTTTTACTACAAGAAAGGTTCTCCAAGAGCCACCTATCGACAGTGCTCTTGATATGTGACAGCTTTTCTGCAAATCCGGCCCACCGATGCTGCCACATTCTTTTAATAGTTTTATATTGCATTTTTAGTGTCAGGCGGCTGGATTGTGAATCAAGTCAGGGGTTGGAACGTCTCAGCCTTAGCTACTTTGTTACCCTTCTGTGTCCGGGTTAATTATTTATTGTATTATTGTTATTACTACGAAGTCAGTATATCTTTAGTTGTGATAGGAGTTGCAATTTTCAATTTGATTTTTTTGGTATCAAAGATATGTTTGGCTTGTCTTCTTTATTTATTTATTTTTTATACTCTTCTTGTTTAGCTGAATCACTCTCCTTTTGATTTTTATGAGGGTGAATTTTAACTTGTTTCAGTATGTTTTTTAAATTTTAATATTCATTGTAATTCAGTGTATAATTCAATATATTATGCGTGTTATTAGGGCATTGTAACTGGGTAAATTCCCATATAAATAAATAATTAAATAAATTCTGATCTTTTTCTTCTTAAGAAAACACGTGCAACAATTTCGTAACGGGCGAGATGGTCTGAAGGGCCTGCAACCGCCGTTTCCCATTTACTTAGTTTTATTGCTTTTAAAGCAAAACAGGAGAGAAAAACGCTTATTTAGGATTATGATTATATGCATCGAATGGAAACAATAAAAAGTGGACATACCAAATTTTTGATATTCCAAATAGAACAATGGGCACAATTTGTCGTACCCGTAATAAAAAAAAGTGGGCATACCAAATTTGTCATATCCGTAAAGTCCAATTCTTCCAGAAAGTCAGTAGTTTAAAAAAACAACACGAACAATTGAGGTTGAAGGTATTAGATAAAGTTTAAAAAATTCAAAATGAGCATTAAGGGTTATACATCAATTTAATACCCATTCCTCCATAAAATTGCCCATTTTGATAGTTTTATTTATTTAAACTTTGATTTAAAAAAAAAATATATATATCACATACAAAAACAGCACGACTTATTATCCGATTTTAAATTTAGGTAGACTTATACAATAAAAACAATGATCAATTTAAATCATCAAGTATTTTATTTTCTTATTCAAAATTCCCAAATATCCCATTGGAAAACGATGAAAAGAGTTATCCCTTCTGTTTGGAAGCAATGTTTATTTAATCATTAATGTTTACACACTCTGAAATGGGATTAGTCAAGGTGTTTTCATCATTGAAAATTAAAAACTTATATTTAGTG